CATTAATTACAGCATTTATTAATCTTTGTTAATGTTAATTGAACTAAAGTTGTTCATTGTTGGTTCTTATCTCAGGGGGTTAATGTTAACAAGCATGCATTTAGATTTTAATGAAGCAATGATTAATGTTACTATGCTTAATAAAGCTTGTAACAGTATACTGAATGTTTTGTTCAGTATTAGTTCATATAAGTAAATACATTACTAATGAACCCTTTTTGTAATGTATGACCATTTTGTTGTCAGTTTAATTTAAATGCATCTTGTTAACTGTTGGTTTGTCCATTTTTTTTAGTTTGTAGCATTTTTTTCAGTGTATATAAATTAAAACTAAAGCCATCAAACTAAATCCAATTTTCTTACTTGAAATAAAATAACGAAAAATAATTAATTATGGAAAAATATTTTTAAAGGAATAGTTTTAAATTTTTTATTTAATTTCATTTAACGTTTAATTTAATTACAGTAGGCGCAGTAGGTAGTGCTGTCGCCTCACAGCAAGATGGTCGCTGATTCAAGCCTTGGCTAGATTAATTGGCGTTTCTGTGTGGAGTTTGCATGTTCTCTCTGCGTTCGCGTGGGTTTCCTCCGGGTGCTCCGGTTTCCCCCACAGTCCAAAGACATGCGGTACAGGTGAATTGGGTAGACTAAATTGTCCATAGTTTGTGAATGAGTATTTATAGATGTTTCCCAGAGATAGGTTGTGGCTGAAAGGGGATCCGCTGCATAAAAACGTGCTGGATAAGTTGGCGGTTTATTCTGCTTTGGCGACCCTGGATAAATAAAGGGACCAAAGCCTGGTTTATACTTCTGCGTCAAGTGATCGGCGTGACCCACAGCGCATGCAATGCGCACAGCTGTGCATTGTGAGCTGCGTGCTGTTTCTGTTGTTCTGCAATAACACTTCCGAAACACTAGTTGGCAGTGATGTGTTTATGTTCCTCTGTGTCGAGTTTCTTCACTGGTGTTTTATTTTTCCTGAGGCAGGAACTGACGGAAGTGCAACAACTTTTTACAATTAGGTTAACACAAAACAAAACTTTCCATCCGGAGCTCCTTCAGAGGATTCCACACTTGTAAACAATCGCTCCATCGGGCTCCCACGGCTCTCAGTCCCACCCAGACTTGTCAGCGCTACCAAGCCGACCAATCACAGAGCTGGTGCTATGTGTACGTTGCGAGGTGTAGTTACATTTTTTGAGAGGTGCACGTCAGCGACGGCCACGTCGTAAGGCTATGCGTCAACGCAAAGGCAAACACATACTTTGAACAACTGATTTTTCAGATTTTTTTTTTAAAGTTCACTTTAGAATAAGTTGAACCAATCTCTAAACTTTATTAATTAACTATTCTTTTCAATTGAATTCTTTTATATTAATAAAATTGTCTGCCTCACAGAAAATAAATACATAAATAAATAAATAAAGGGACTGAACATTAACCCAATTCAAAATACAAGAAAAAATAATACTAAATGCAACCAGTGGAAAAGTCCTTCATTTTCCAGCTTTAAGATGTCAAACCGATAATGATAACATTTAAAATAGCATTTTTAAGCCAACATTGATATGGCCGGCATGTATTGTGCATCTTTAAAAAACAAACAAACAAAAAAAAAACATTTATCTATTTAACTTTTTTTGTTGCTGTGGTGGTAATGGTGGTTTGGGGTCTGGTAGTGTATAGATGGTGTATGAGCTGCTGGTAAAGTGTTGTTATTGAGCTTCTCCTCATCAGCAGGTGACGGTGCCTTTTACTGTTTGGATTTTAATTAGCAACAACAGCAAGAGCACTTAACCAACGTAACCCTGAGAGAATATCACTGATCAGCCTCATCGATCGCAGACACTCCACTAACAGACTACAAGAGCAGAGCACACCGAGCCACCTTCAGCATTGTATAGTACAGACTGACTCAGCATTAAATAGAAATGTCTATTACTATATATATATATATCATTCATTTTCCTTTGTCTTATCTGGGGTTGCCGCAATGGAATAAACCGCCAACTCTTCCAGCATATGTTTTATGCAGTGGTTGCCCATCCACCTGCAACCCAGTACTGGGAAACACCCATAAACTCTCACATTCACACACGCACTCATACAGTACAGCGAATTTTGTTCACCCACTTCACCTATAGTGCATGTCTTTGCACTTGGAGGAAACCCATGCCAACATGGTGGGAATATGCAAACTCCACACAGAAATTCCAACTGGCCCAGCTGGGACCAGCGACCTTCTTGGTGAGGCGACAGTGCTAACCACTGATCCACCGTGTCACCCTTTTTTTATTTCATTTTATTTTAGCAGATACATTTAAGTGAAGTTAAATGTTGAAGTGAGTGAAATAGTGTTGTGTTGTTGTGGTGTTGAGGGCTGCTGATCAGTGATAGTTTGTGTTAGTCAGTGGATTTACTGGAGTCTGCACAGGTCAGATGTTATCAGGTCTGCTGGAGGAGAAACAGACATGATAACATCTTCTTCATCTTGATCGTCTCCTGAGGTCTTCTTGATATCAGAGCTCCTTGGCTGTGTTTTTTGACCAAAGTGCTGATGAGTTTGCAAATTATCCTTTTTCTTATGTCAAGAAGTTATCTAAAGCGATCGGGTTATTTTCTCTCATTTTTCCTGTTACATACAGTTAAAGTCCGAATTATTAGCCCCCCTGAATTATTACACCCCTGTTTATTTATTTCCCCAATTTCTGTTTAACTGAGAGCAGATTTTTTCAACAAATTTCGAATCATAATTTATTTTTTTAATTTACCATGGTGACAGTAAATATATTTCACTAGATATCTTTTAAGACACTTCTATACAGCTTAGAGTGACATTTAAATGTTTAACTAGGTTAATTAGGTAAACTAGGCAGGTGTAGGTATTAGGCAAGTTATTGTGTAACAATGGTTTGTTCTGTAGACTATCGAAAAAAAAAATAATATTAATAATATTAATACTAATAATATTGAATTTAAAATGGTTTTAAAAAATTAAAAACTGCTTTTATTCTAGCTAAAATAAAACAAATAAGAATTTCTCCAGAAGAAAAAATCTTTTCAACATACTGTGAAAATGTCCTTGCTCTGTTAAACATTATTTGGGAAATATTTAAAAAAGAAAAACAAAAAATCAAAGGGGGCCTATTAATTCTCACTACAACTATGTTTATTTATTTTTTTTTTTACTTTATTTTTACAACGTATTTAATATTTTTTCATCTGATAATATTTATTTATCTTTATCGTTTTTAGAATGGAAACATTGGTTTTAGTTTTATTTTGTTTTTATTTTGTTTATTTTGTTGTTATTTTATTTTAATTAGTTTTATTTTGTAATTAAAAATTTATTTTTTGTGTTATTTTTTCATTCTAAAATAGTAGAATTCTAATCAAAAGTAAGTCCTAAAATTATTTTAGATTTTTTTTTTAAATATTTATGTCTTTTTTATTGTTATAAAGCTTTTTTTTTTTATAGACAACTGTTATTTATAAAATGTTTGTACATTTGTAAACCTGTATTTGCCATATATAGTTGAAGTCAGAATTATTAGCCCCCCTTTTAATTTTTTTTTTCTTTTTAAAATATTTCCCAAATTATGTTTAGCAGAGCAAGGAAATTTTCACAGTATGTCTGATAATATTTTTTTTCTGGGGAAAGTTTTTTTTTTCCAGACTAGTCTAAAAGCAGTTTTAAATTTTTTTAAAAAACATTTTAAGGTAAAAATTATTAGCCCCTTTAAGCTATATTTGTTTTCGATAGTCTACTGAACAAACCATCGTTATACAATAACTCGCCTAATTACCCTAACCTGCCTAGGTAACCAAATTAACCTACTTAAGCCTTTAAATGTCACTTTAAGCTGTATAAAGGTGAAAAATCCTTTTCAGGTCCTGAAAAATATCTAGTCAAATATTGTGTACTGTCATCATGGCAAAGATAAAATAAATCAGTTATTAGAGATGAGTTACTAAAACTATTATGATTAGAAATGTGCTGAAAAAACAACACCAACCATTAAACAGAAATTGGGGAAAAATAAACAGGAGGGCTAATAATTCAGGTGGGCTAATAATTCTGACTTAAACTGTAACTACACATAATATTAACATATTATAATACTATCTATAATTTTAAATGATATTAGAGAACATTTTTATTCGGGAATAATTAAAGGAAGTTGTCTAAAAGGGTGTCTTCTGGAGGAATTTTTGAATCTTTATTTTAATATACATTGATTAAACTGAAACTAATTGTTTTTATTTATTTATTTATTTATTTATTTGTTTGTTTGTGTATTTAGTTTACACTAGAAATGACAAGAAGTCAAGACAACAAATTATTTTATTGTATCTTTATTTTATCTTATTTTAATAAGTTTATAATTTTTCAACTACATTAAGTTATACAATGTTTAAATTAATATTTTTTGTCAGTTAGATTGATGTTGAAGTCGTCTGCTATGCTGCTATGGCATTAAAACAAACAAACAAACAAAAATAAATAAATAAACAAATAAATAGATAAATAAATAAGGGCATCACGATGGTGCCAGTGGGTAGCACAATCGCCTCACAAGTCGCTGGTTCGAGCCACGATGGGTTGGCGTTTCTGTTGGGAGTTTGCTTGTTCTCCCACTTGTTCGCAGGAATTTCCTCCAGGTGCTCCGGTTTCCCCCACAATCCAAAGACATGCGCTATACTGTAAGAGAATTAAGTAAGCTAAATTGGCCGTAGCGTATGTGTGTGAATGAGAGTGTATGGATGTTTCCCAGTGATGGGTTGCAGCTGGAAGGGCATCGACTGCGTAAAACATATGCTGGATAAGTTGGTGGTTCATTTCTCTGTGGCTACCCGAGATCAATTAAGGAATTAAGCCGAAAAGAAAATGAATGAATGAATGAATGAATGAATGAATGAATGAAATTGCTTCAAACTAATTTTTTCTGCTTTTTTTCTCTCACATTTCTCACTCTGTTGTTTATGTGCTTTACCTGCAGTACTGGTATGAAGGGAACGAGATGGGGGATCTGCCTGTGGATTTCTCCATCGTGTGGGACGGTGACTTTCCCATCGACAAACCCTCATCCATGAGAGGTAAGAAACCAAACACTTCACCTCAACTCAATCGCAGCATCCTCTTGATTTGTCTGCTACCTTTGCTGCAAAGTGGAACTGACTGCATCTTTCATCTGATTCGATCTGGATTTCTCCGTCTGTCTGGTGTTTTCTCTCTGCTTTATTTTATTGATTGTTTCAGTCGTATAATAATAAGCTCATATTAGAGCTCGGGATGGTGGAGAATCACAGTCTGTCACCTTTTACCACGTCCACACCGCTGTCAGTTCACATTTACCTCCAAATCTGCTGTGAAAGGGCCCCAGATGTGCGGTTACAGAGAGTTTGTGTACTACACTATTTTCTGAGTTTATTAGAAAGCCTTTTACTTTCTTTATTATTGTGTTTTCAGAAACCTTCATTTATTATATTATATTATATTATATTATATTATATTATATTATATTATATTATATATTGTATTATATTATATTATATTATTTTATGTTATATTATATTATATATTATATTATATTATATTATATTATATATTGTATTATATTATATTATTTTATGTTATATTATATTATATATTATATTATATTATATTATATTATAGCAGCGTAATACGATATATAGTAGTAAAAATAATTATATTAACTTTTAATTTGTAATTCAAATTATTGTAGTATATTTATATTTTCATATTTCTAGATTTTAAATGTACACATGATGTTAAATAGAATATTTGTAAGAATTTTAATTTTATTGTATTATAATTAGTTTCAAAGTTATTTTAACTGTTAATATAACATGATTTAATATAACAACATAATATCAAAACAAAAATTTTAAATATTTATATTTATCTTAAATATTATGTGTGTGTTATATATATAAATAATGTAGGTATTTTACTTATGCAATTGCATTCATATTTTTACATTTTGAATATGCATACATAACATTACAGAGTCATTTATTTACAATTTATTCTTTAATTTTATAAATGTATTTTATTGCAATTTACTAATTTATTTTTGTGGTTAAGTTTATATTTGAATGGCAAATATAATATGACATAACAATATATAATATTGTTAATTATTGTGCACCTGTAGTCATATTTTCACATTTTAATTATTTTATATTCATATAAAATTTATTGTTTATACTTTTATTTAATTATGATTTATTTTAGTGGCTATTTTTATACTTTAATGGTCAGTATAAAATGTATATTCATTTTAGATTATAATACAAAATAATTTTTGGTATGTAAATAATGTAAAAAATATAACTATTTTCAAATATTACTCCATATATTTTTTAATCTTTATAAGCTTGTTTATGTTACAATATGTTTAGATTGTGCTGAAAAATATAAATTAAAAAGTTTCCAACTTAATAACATCCTGGCCTTTTAAAGATTCACATTTCTTTAGTCTCCCTTTACAGATAACGACATGACTATTAACTTGCTCCCAGTGAGCACCGTTTTGGATAACTCTCACTTACATGAGGCAGTTTTTGTGTTGAGATTCCGCCTGTGTAGATGCCGAACATGGAGCGAGCTCATAGCGTCTGGAACAGAGCCAGTGTGTAGAAGTAAACCTCGACACCCTTGGTTTTGCGCTTGCTTTGTGCCTGGGGTCAGAGTTATTAGTGTGTGGGCAGCACATGAATCACGGCGCAGTGAATGCAGGCGTGGGCTTCTCTTCCAATACCTTCCCCTTACAGTTCAATTATCGATTGGCACCACACAGCTGGCACCACTCCAAACATGGCCTGCGTTTAGCTGGCTAGCCAAGCGGACGGCTGTGTTTTCAGGCTACGTTACACTAGCGCGTTTTCATTTTAACTGTATTATCAACAGGTACACCTGCAGTCAACACTACTTCAGTGTTTGACCCTTGAAAAATAGAGACATTTGTAAATGCTGCAGACTCTGTTATAATTAGGAAATTCTGAGGTTGTGTTTAGTGTAGACCAATCGGCAACATCTCGCTCTCTCGTGTGAAGCCTATATGGAATTAACTGAAACTGCGATTCATCATAATTCCTCTAGGCTGCTGGCTTCAGAATAGAGCACATTTCTATTGATCCCAATGTTAAAATGGCCAACTTTACAGCAGAAAAAAGCTGTTTACAGCCTGGTACAAAAAGATTTTGGTGTAAATAGCTAATATTACACTTCATGACAATTGTGAGGGGGTGATTTTTTTTTTTGCAACTTATCTGTTTAATTTCTAATAAGTCTTTATAATTAAAGGCGTGGCCACTTGAGTGACAGCTAGGTCTCATCACTCAGCTGATTCTGGCTGATCAGCTGCTGAACTCAGCCTATTCATCATACTTTTGTTTTATTTTATGTGGCTTTACAGTCAATTCCATTTTGAGATCATTGTTTTACAATTATCAGATGATATGGCATGCGGTGCACTTAATTTTGCTCACAAAAACCATTCAAGTCCCCTCCATTTCCCCAGTGTGAGTAAAATTCTTAAATACTTTTATATATAAATGTACTTGTTTTATTTAAAGGTGCCATACACTACATTGGTTTAAGAAGTTAAATTATTCTCTGATATCTGCATAGTAAGTTTATGGCTTCGGTAAGTTAAAAAAAAAAATCTCCAGAAACTTTAAGCTAATTTATTACTTAATGAAATACCCCTAGAATCAGAAGGTCCATTATTGACCATATATGGTTCGTTTTGTGAATTTTCACACACACAGCGTGATGTACACTAAACACAGACAAATATAAACGCAATCAGAGTAACTGTAACCTATTTTGCTCACCAGATCTGTTGTGGATAAAGGCTAAATTATAATTAAACTTGACAAAAGAGAGTCATAGAGATGTATCACGTTGTGTTTTATAGCTATAGTCAAAGAAAACACCCAGAAATAAATGTCGACATCTGCATGAACACATGACAGTGGTGTGATTTGACAAGATTCAGCTGTATACATGTGTTTGTTGAAACATAAGTGTCATATTTCACAATAAACATGATCAATTCACAAAAGATGTCACTAAACATACCTTACCTCTCTTCAGAGTGGAGCGGAATAAATGTGTAATCTGTACATCTTGCAATCTTTGCGTCCTGAGGCCAGTTTGAAACATTCCTCGTGTTGCCGTTGCCCAGTAACGCACAGTAAATAATTTGGGGCTCATGTTTTCAAAATAAAAGTCAGTAGGTGAATTATACATTTAAAATAACTAAGGGTGGAAAGTTATCACTGTTGTATCGCTAGAAAACATTTGGCCTATCAAATGCAACCTGAGGCGTGCCTTTTAATGATCTCAGAGCTTTTTTATGATCTCAGAGTTGCAAATGAGTCGTGATTTCTTGCCGATGTCAGCTGCTCGTCAGGTCCGGATGAATGACCTAAATTATGCATACATGCAAATGCAGAGGGCGTGGCTTGCGAGTCTCATCACAGTTTGTTTTGTTCTCTGAATGGCCTATGGTCCACCGAGGTTTTACATGTGGAATTTAAATGAAAATGAGGAAACGCTGTCTGAGGCTCACAGTATGCCCATTTCCATATACTGATATTTTATTATTCTACTATGCCTTGGTATACTCAGATTTTCATTATGGGGCACCTTTAAGATAATTCATTTATCATTTATAATTTTCTTTAGAACTCTAATGCATTCCAGAATCTAACAGATAGATTAACTGTAGGCTATAGAACAGTCGTCTGAAATGTCATAATGCCTGGATTTCATAAATAGTCTTGCATTTACTACATAATACAGACTAGTTTTGAACTATTTGGAGATAAGATGCGTTTAAAAAAATGTCACAAGAACAATGCTTAGTGGCTCAATGTATTACAAACGTTTTTAAAAAAGACCAAACTGTTTATTGACGCAGTACACAACCAAGCACAAGTGGTCAGAACACAAACCAATCACAGGTAATGAAGTATTAAGCGTTTCTCCCAGAAAAACCCATCTATGCAAAATGTAGCAGGCATCCGTTGCTCTGCCCTTGCCCTGCCTCCCATTTTCAGTTACCCGCAGTCAGTGCGATGACACGCGAACAAAATGTCGACGGTTGGCCCTGCACACGTGTAACTTCATTTGCGCTTTTTAGAAACCTACGAGTGACGTTGTGAATACTACGAACTTATTTTTTACAGTCTATAATGTAGACTCATTTGGTTTGGGACCAGATGCAAGCCGATGCAAGCCAACAACAGTTGGTTTTCGTTTGCCCTAGTTGTTTGACGCGGACTTGATGCTAAAACAAAAATGCTGTAGTGTAAATGTATCCTCATTCTCTCTCTGTGTTTGTTTGTGTGTGTGTGTGTGTGTGTAGCTCTCCTGTATAAGTGTGAGGCTCAGAGGGACAGCTGTGGACTATGTCTGAAGGCTGACAGCACATTTGAGTGTGGCTGGTGTTTGGCCGATAAGAAGTGTCTCCTAAAGCAACACTGTCCATCAGCCGAACACAACTGGATGCATCAGGGACGACGCAACATTCGCTGCAGCCATCCGCGCATTACCAAGGTGAAAACAAACACATTCATATGTCTCATAAGAGCCATTGCAGAGCTGTCCATTTTTGGGTTGTTTAGAGATGAACTTTTACTAAAACATGTTCAAGTCATCATGCAATATTCTTGCTAAAACCATTGTAGTTACTTCCATCTATAGGGCTGGGCGATATGGCAAAAATGCTGTCTCGATAACTATTTTCCTTATTGAAGATAACGATATATATTCCAATATAAGTTGTTAATACTTCAAAATTTTAAAGAGTACCCCAACAATAAAGGAAGCCACAAAATTTAGCCATTAAAAGGTGTAACATATTTTTGGCCAATTTATTTTTGATGGTGCATCTCTAATATCAACACACTTCTAGATTCCCATTGTTGCACATTGCTGCTCAATGATTGGCTTTTAGATCAATATAGAGTAAAAAAAAAACTCCAGAGCTTATCATTGTTATTGACATCAACTTTATCGTGATTTTATAATATCATTTATCAGCCCAGCACTACTTCCATAATGTGGTATTTCTGATTGAATCTGAGTAGTTATTGATGGTTTTTGGGTTGTTGTTATTTTTAATACTATTCACTAATACATTTTTCACAATTTAAATATTCATTTATGAATGTTTCTTTATTTTTAACACTTTACACTAAGGTTGTATTAGTTAACGTTGGTTAATACACTTACTAACATGAACAAACAATGTTTATTACAGTTTTTGTTCATGTTAGTTAATGTTATTTTAATGAAAATAAATTTATTAATTGATACTTCACATTAACTTGCGGTGCATTAACTAATGCTAACAAACATGAATTTATATTTTAATAATGCATTAGTAAATGCTAAGCTTTGATAATAAACCATCTACGCGTATTGTTTATTCTTAGTTCATGTTAGTAAATACATTAACTAATGAAACTGTATTGTAAAGTGTAACATTTATTTATTTACTTATTTATCTGTCTATTTATTTATTTATTTATTTTATAAATTTGCACAAAACAATTAAACAATCAAACAAATATACAATATACAAACAAACATCCCAACACTATTTTTCCCTTTTGTGGTTTTAACATAAGAAACACATAGATGACAGTCTGCAAACATCAAAGTCCTCAAGCGTCATACAAATTAACGGCAAGTGTTTTTTTAAAATGTATTTATTTATTTATTAATTAATTTATTTATTTATTTGTGTTTGTCTGTTTTTTGTTTGTTCTATTTTTTGGTAAGTTTTATTTATGTGGTGCACATACGTACTGAACTGTGCACAGTTTATCCAGAAATAAATTTGGATTTATTTATTTTTCTTTGTTTGTTTTTATATAGCTTATCCCAACTGCCAAAATTAAAATTATAAAATTAATAAAAGTGATTAATTAAAATCAACATTCACAATGGTTTTATTTATTTTAACAGATTTTATATATTTAGTAATCTTTATTCAGCTTTATAATTTTGATTTATTATTATTATTATTATTATTATTATTGTGCTATATTATTGTTATTATTATTATTGTTATTGTTATTATTATTGTGTTATATTGATATTATTTTTATTATTGACAATGTTCATCATTATTAGTTTTTCATTTAGCATTTTTTATTTATGTAAAAAAATTAATTAAAAATATATATCATTTTCAACTATCATTTTATTTATATTATTTACCTTTATCATAGTTTATACAATTCTTTCTAATTACAAAATTTTTTAACAAAAATATCTTACAGTATTTAGAATTGAAATCTATCCATTTTTCCTGCAATTATCCTATAGGTTTTTATTAACTTTTTTTATACTCATTTTTCTTCTTTAAACTTCTCAAAAGAGTCAGACTTTACGTATGACATGAAAGTTATTGGTGTCTAAGATGTCTCCTATTAAAAACACCACTGTCCACCTGCATGTAAGATCTCCCAGCTTACACCTCTGCATGTGTGTGTGTTGACCTACAGCGTCTGCTTCTGTCTCTCCTCTAGATTCGTCCTCTGACGGGCCCGAAAGAAGGAGGCACACGCGTCACCATTGAAGGGGAGAATCTGGGGCTGCAGGTTCGAGAAATCACTCACGTGCGTGTGGCTGGAGTTCGCTGTAACCCTGCTGCAGCTGAATACATCAGCGCTGAGAGGTGCATTATGGGAAACACCACACATTTTCACCTTCATCTTCACTCTTCTCTTCTCATCAGACTTCATTCTGACAGCCAAATTGTGATTTAGTTTGAGCGTCAGCCTTTTGAATAAAATTAAAAGCAAGTTTTAGTCTTCTGAAGCATTGTAGTCTACGTTTAGATTGAATTTTAAACGATTTTAGTCAGAGGGATCTACTAATCAACTAAAATCATAATACTCTTATGAACCGGATTGACGTTTTGAACTACGGATACACGGATTTAACTGTCTTGATGTAACGTACTGTAAAAACACTTTTCATAAAATACATAATTAGTGCTGTACGTAATTAGTATATATATACTCAAAATATCTATGTAACAAAATTGTTTTGTGTATCATATGTAGAGTTCAAATGCTAAAACCTTAAAGTGCTGTCTGAAATTTCCATCAAAAGTGAACATTTTTCTCAGCCTCCTTTTGTTTATGTTGAGATATTTCACATTAAAGACCAGAAAAAAGGACTTATTCTCTGCCATAAAAATTATATCACTGAACATACACAGAAGCCTGATAAAAATGCAAATTTTAGAGGAAAATTTTAAATGACATTTAGAAATTTTGCATCTAAACTCTTCAAATATACATATTATATTCATTCATCATTAATTTTCTTTCGGCTAAGTCCCAAATTTATCAGGCGTTGCCACCGCCGAATGAACCGCAGACTATTCCAATATACGGATGAAGTCAGAATTATTAGCCCCCTTTGAATTTTTTAGTCTTTTTCAAATATTTCCCAAATGATGTTTAACAGCGTAAGGAAATTTTCACAGTATGTCTGATAATATTTTTTCTTACAGAGAAAGTTTTATTTATTTTATTTTGGCTAGATTAAAAGAAGTTTTTAATTTTTAATTTATTCATTTTTTTATTTATTTATTATTTAGAAATTTTTTTCTATAAACTACAGAACAAACCATCGTTATACAATAACTTGCCTAATTACCCTAACCTGCCTAGTTAACCTAATTAACCTAGTTAAGCCTTTAAATGTCACTTTAAGCTGTATAAAAGTGTGTTGGAAAATATCTAGTCAAATATTATGTACTGCCATCATGGCAAAGATAAAAGAAATCAGTTATTAGAAATGAGTTATTAAAACTATTGTGTTTTAAAATATGTTTTAAAAAATCTGCTTTTCACTAAACAGAAATTGTGGAAGAAAATAAACAGAGGGGCTAATAATTCAGGGGGCCAATAATTCTGACTTCAATGGCATATTTTATGCAGCTTATGCACTTCCAACCGCAACCCAGTACTGGGAAATACAAACCAAATATATACAGTATAATAGTCTTGTCAAGATAATAAAATTTTCTACTTTAATACAATACCTTGAATAATATCGATATTCCATACCATTTTCGTTACATCAGCAGTCCTTAAGTAAAGTTAAAAAAAAAAAAAACTAAATTAGCGCAATATCATCTTAATTTCTGATTAAAACAAATGTGTTAAATTTATTATTATTATTATTATTATTGTTATTATTATTATTATTATTCCTCTCTGCTGGTGAGGAGAGTTTGCAAGAGAGCAACTGTACAGTTTTGATACCATCCACAAGCAAGATTGTATCATTTGAAATATTTCTTATAGATATTTATTGATTATAACAATATTTTGACAACACACACACATATATATCAAAACAAACTTATTTTGCATGTGATTAATCTTTGCTGTGGTGAATGATGAATAAAGCCCTGATGAATAAAGGGACTAAGCCGAAGGAAAATGAGTGAATGAATAATCTTTGTCCAGGACTAATAATACAGTTTAAATATTGTTCAGAATACTTCATTCTTTCAATATTATTTTCCATACATGAAATTTAGTGAATTCTAACCAAAGGATTTAGTTCAAATCCAATACATGTTTTACTATCTTTCTTTAATATATTTATACCTGCCCTTTTCTTTCTCTTGTCCCACACATTGACATTTTTTGAACATTTAAATAATGAGAACTGAGGCAGAATTTAGCTTACATCTCATCGGGTAGATTAGCATAGTAACTCTGGGTTTTTCACCAGATTGTCCCTCCCTATTTTGCTCTCGTCTGCATTCAGTATCAGTACGTTTTTGTCATTCAACTGAAACGTTCAAAGCATTAAAACAAAAGTTTCTGATGAAATATATGTCACAAATGATTGTTTAGCAATATAAGCACTGCTTTTGGTGAATGTGAATGTTGTTGCAGGATTGTGTGTGATATGGAGGAGTCCCTGATGTCCAGTCCTCCCGGAGGTCCGGTGGAGCTGTGTATCGGAGACTGCAGCGCTGAGTACAGGACTCAATCCACACAGACTTACTCCTTTGTGGTACGTCTGATATTGTTTAGTTTAGTTTAAAAGTTTGTTTTTAAAATTTGTTTATTTATGCTTGTTTTCCTTCTTTTTGTTTTTACATTATTTTATACTTTCAATATATTTTACTTTTCATATATTTTAACTTATATTTACATTTTTGTACTGGTTTAAGAGCTTATGCTTTATTTGAATAAATTAAAAAGTTTATGAAAAAAGGATTTTTAAATATTTTAATATAAGATCTGTACCTAAAAAAAAAACTATTTATATATTATATTTCTTTATTAATTTGTTCACTTAAAACTTCAGTTTCTGCCACTTAAAAATAAGCATTGTAACATTGTTAAACACACTCTGGGTGCCAACTGTTTATCCCAACTACCAAAAGAAAATATTTTTAAATTTTATTTATTAAAATTCAATTCATTATTTAATTAAAATAAATTTTTACTATGGTTTTTATCAATTTTAATCATCTTTATTCAGCTTTATAATTTTTATTTATCTTTATTATAATGTTTTTTTTTTTATTTATCTTTATTGTTTTAATATTTGTTTGTTTAGACTTGTTTTTTCTGTCCTTGTTTTTACATTATTAAATTAAGTATTTCACTCTTGTTTACATATTTTTTACTGTCTGTATGTATATACATACACACACATACACATGTAGCTGGTTAATTATTTAATCATTTGTTTACTTAAAAATTCAGTTTCTGCCAAATAAAAAGAATCATTGTAACATTATCAAATGCACCCATTTTATTTATTAAAATTAACATTCTCTATGGTTTTATTTATTTATTTTTTTGTCAGTTTTAATCATCTTTATTTATCAGATATATTTTTTATCTTGTTATGATGTTATTTTATTTATCTTTATTAAGTTTATTAATTATTTATGCTTTTTTTCTTGTTGTTTTTACCTCATTTAGTTTCAATATTTTTCACTTTTGTTTCATATATTTGAATGTTTATTTACATATTTTACATACTTATTTTATTTTTAGGGCTTAGGTCTTAGTTAAATAAAATAAAAAGTTATAAAATTTATACCTAAAATTTTTTTTAAAATAAATTATATAAGCAATGTAATGTTATTAAACACACCCTGGATCCCAATTGTTTATTCCAACTGCCAAAAGAAAGTGTTTTAATTATATATAATATATAAATATATATAATTTATCTTTATTATGTTTTTATTATGTTATTATGTTTTTTATCTTTACTATTGGTTTTTAAGTTTAGTTTATTTATTTATGCTTGTTTTTCTTCTTATTGTTTTTACATTTTTCAATTTCAATATATTTCACGTTTGTATAATATATTTTTACTGTCTTAAGAACTTGTGCCTTAGATAAACAAATTAAAATTTGATATAATAAAAGGGTTAAATTTTTTTAATTGTCTTTATTAAGCTTTAGAATTTTTATTTATGTTTATTATGATGTTTTTTATTTATCTTTATAATTTATTTTAAAGATTTGTTTATTGACCTTGTTTGTTTTTTTTCCTCACTATTAGGCAAGGCAAGTTTATTTTTATACCACATGTCATACACAATGGTATTTCAAAGTGCATTTTTATATAAACAGGAATAAAAGAAACAAGTAAAAGAAAATAAAAACAACAAAGTATAAATGATTAAAAAACATATAAAAATTATTTTAAAACATATAAGGTTTTAAAAGAATGAAAAAAGACAATGTTAACTTTCAATATATTTCACTTTTCATATTTTTTCATATTTCATATTTTTCAGTTTCATATTTTTGAACATACTGACTCAAGAGCTGTCTTTGTTAAATAAAGTAAAAAGTTATAAAATGTATACATAAAAATGTATGTAAATGTTTATTTATTAATTCATTTGTTTATTAAAAAATCAATTTCCTGCCAAATAAGCATAAGTATTGTAACATTATTAAACACACTCTGATTATTTCAACTCAATTAAATTTTTCTTTAAATTTCAATATACTCCTTCAAGCAGTTTCCAGGCATCTTCATGCACAAACTGTCCTCTTACTCCTCATAAAGTCGATTTTCTACAAATCCTTTATATATTAATCATTCTTTTCACATTGATTCCCTTATCGCCGCTAACGTTTTGTTTACTGTGATTTACGCTTAGCTAATCAATACATATCCATCTTCTGAGACTCAGCCGATCGGATTTCACACCAGAAGCCAATCAATCGTCAGGTTTCCTACTTTTGCATCCCGACAGCCAATCAGGATGGCTCTCATGTGATCCTGTAATTGAGGGAAAGCAGGTGTAAAAAAAAAACTACACAATCACCATCGCCTTCTTCTCTTCCCGCTGAGTTTTAAGTGCAGCCCAGCAGGAATAGAGCATTAGTCTATTATCCAGAGCCCAGGAGCTACACACACACACTCACACACGTATAAAAATGGATGACCCTGCCTGGATTCCCTCAGCATTTAATCGATAGCGTCCAGGCGGCTTCAGTCGTGCAGAAGGGTAAAGCAAATGAAAACACGCACTCCGAGCAATTACACAGGTATGCAACTAATTAGAGAGAGAGGACGGCGCCTGACAGGCCCTGCGCCCAAACAAACGAGCCCCGCGGACGGCAAGAGCATGCAGGACATTTCTATTAGTGTGATGAGTGTAATCTCTGCGTGGAGAAGCAGAATGAGGAAAACAGGAGGGTCTGAGTCTGTCCATCTGTTCCTCTCCTCCCTCTAGAGTTTGCACAACCAGCAGTCTATATTTTATATGATTTTAAATATATCAAAAGTATTCACCCCCCTGTGATTATGTTTTTAAAGGGCTGATCCACAGTTTATTTTTAAGACATGGTTATGTTTATTAGATGCAAAGCAATGTGTGCTCATGCTTCACTTGTAGAAATTCACGTAATTTTTTTTATATATCTTATTTTGATTATATACAGCTACTCAGCTAACATGAAAACACTGTCATATTTCCTATTTCCTTTGAAATGCCCGCCCTCAAAGAGGCTCTGATCGGTCTTAGCATAATGTGCTGTGATTCGCAGATTGGCTCCACGTCACTTCCCTACATGTGCACGCTTTTGTTCTGTGAAAACAGTCCGGTTAGAGGCTCAGAGCAGCTGTTAGCAACGTTAGCTGCCTGAATGAGACAGAAATGAAGACCACACAGCTCACGCCTGCTCTCTAAAATAAAATCTAAGTGTCTTTCACATATATTCGGAATAAGCATGTGTAAGTAATATAAAACGTTCTCATATTTTTTGCGAGTTTGTAATTTAAGATGTAGAATGCACGGAAAGCGGCCACATAGAGAGACACACTGCCTGCGCTGCTGAAGATTGTTGCTGTTTACATCAATTTGACTGATAAATATGTATTTGTAGCTAAATTGTTAACGGTGCCAAACAGCATTTCCTTTTGTTTACATTCTTGCTACAGCATACCGTTAACGCTAGAAACTGTTCCTCTAGATGATCAATTTTAACAAATAGAAATACTTACAGGTTGTGGCTCACAATCCAAAGCTTCGTTTGTTGAAGGAGTTTTACCAAATACTGCACTGAACTGGGAGAGATTCTGGAAGTTCTCCTTTGTCAAATGCTAGAGCTATATGCATTTTTAATTTTATTCTGAACATAATTAAAATTAAACTGTAAGCACTTCTGTCTTTGTGTCGTGTCCTTTGGAAGCCCAAATACAAAGACAGAAGAAGCTCTGTGGAAATAGCAGCATTTAGACAGCCTTTAAGCTTTCTCTGGTTTACCATTACAGTGCCTCTGGCCACGCTCCTTTGCTGTGCAGTGTGTGCACAAGGTGAATGCGTGGATATAAAAAATAATTATATATATGTATATAGAAATATATATGTTTGTATATATATATATATATATATATATATATATATATATATATATATATATATATATATATATATATATATATATATATATATAATTATTATTTTTTTTTTTTTACTTAAAATAACGATTCTAGTTTTGCCAAAAATCTGCATCAAAATTATTTTGATGAATACTTCAAAATAAGTATATTACATTTAATGGCTCCACAATTATTATCAAAATGTAACTTATTGGTATTCGGAAATCTCAAGGCATTTATCTAATAAAGTTTATATTAATTTAATTTATGGTTTGATAAATATTTTGATATTTAATCACTTCCGAATTAGAGGTTTGAAATATGTTTCAATTCAATTCAGCTTTATTTGTATAGCACTTTTACAATGTATATTGTGTCAAAGCAGCTTCACATAAATTGTCATAGTAACTGGATCAGTGTAGTTCAGTTTTTAGTGTTTAAGTTCAGTTCAGTTTAGTTCAGTTCAGTGTGGTTTGAAGTCATTATTGAGAGTCCAAACACTGAAGAGCAAATTCATCGATGAGTAGCTTTTCAGATCCTGAACCATGCAAGCCAGTGGCGACAGCGGAGAGGGAAAAAAAAACTTCACCAATAGGAGAGTCAAGAAAAAAAACCTTGAGAGAACCAGACTAAGTTCGGCTCGACCATTTTAATTTCTCCACTGACCAAAAGTCTTGTGCAGAGCTGCAGTCTCAGCAGTGGAGGCTGGAAGCTGGCTTCAACTGGCCTCAACTTTCTAAACTGTATTCATTTTTATTAATGAAAACTTTTTTTTCATTGTGTTATTTATTTTAGCCAGAAAAATGCATTGATAAAAAAAAAAAATAGGGTAATATTCTAATCATTTATAACTACAAATTCTTTAAACAATTGCGTTGAAACACAGTTAAGCTATTTTAAGTTGCATTAAAAGATATTATTATTTTGTTTAAATACTTTAAATAAAGATTCCACTTTTGCCAAAAATATGCTATTGAAAAATATTTTGATGAATATTTAAAAATAAACATATTTCATTTAATGACAGCACAATTATTGTCTAAACATAGCTTGTTTGTGTGTTTTGTTTATTTGTTTATTTACCTTTTACTCTAGACTCAAAAATATGTTTGCTGCTTGTTCAAACTACTTATTTAAAGGGATTTGAAACAACATAATTATTGAGGGTTTTTGGGGGGGACAGCTTAATTTTTTCATGTTCAATCAGCTTAATACATTGTTAACTCTATTGATTTGCATATGGACAACATGAAAGGATTGTGTCGAACCCAGCATTTTTTACAGTGTACTATGCAGTGTAATTATGAAACCGAGTGTGATTTCTCCTCATGTAGCAGCAGAATGATTGCTTGTGCGTTGAACGTCTCCATCTGTTGGTTCCTCTCGTCCCTATAGATGCCGAGCTTCAGTCGAGTGCGCCCTGAGAAAGGCCCGGTGTCCGGCGGGACGAGGCTGACCATCTCAGGCCGACATCTGGACGCCGGCAGCGCTGTGACCGTGTTTTTGGCCCAGGAGGAGTGTCTGTTCGTCAGGTGAGCAGTTTTCCCTTCAGCTCTTAACCGGATGTTCACATCTACGTCCCTCGACATCTGTGCGGGATACACTTTGAGTTTGGAGGAAGTGAAATGTGTCGTTTCCACATGAAATCACAGGAGCACATGGAACGGCCTCAAATGCGTGCCAAGAAACATGATGCATTGCTGGTTGTGATTGTTAGCGAGCTGCGCGGCGATTATACTGGAGGAACATCTGCTTACATGATAAAAATTGTATGATGATGTCAGATCCTGGATGAGAAGACCAGCCGTTTTTTCTAGGCCACAACTAGGCCTGTAAAGAAGACTTGCTGGTGGAAAAAGAAAAACTTTACATAATAGAAATTATTTATTTGTTTTAATTAAAGACAAAGAATAAATGAAAGTACAAATTAAAATAAAATGTTATATACACACACACACACACACACACACACACACACACACACACACAGAGTTAAACTTAACGTGTTAGCCTGTAAGAAAACATTTTAATAGAAAGTTTAAATTATTGTAAAAAAGGAAAATTGAAGAGATAAAATAAATTAAAGTTAAAAATTAAAATCAAATTGTAAAAAAAAAAAAAATATATATATATATATATATATATATATATATATATATATATATATATATATATATATATATATATATATATATATTATAGATATATAAATACAATACTCAGGTAGTCTGTGGCATTGACACAAAGTGTGCCAAGAAAATACCCCCACATCATTACACCACCATCAGCCTGAACCGTTGATACAAGACAGGATGGATCCATTCTTTCATGTTGTTGACACCAAATTATGACTCTATTATCTGAATGTCCCAGAAATCGAGACTCATCAGGCCAGGCAATGTTTTTCCAATCTTCAATTGTCCAATTTTTGTGAGCCTGTGCGAATTGTAGCCTCAGTTTCCTGTTCTTAGCTGACAGGAGTGGCACCCGGTGTGATCTTCTGCTGCTGTAGCTCATCCGCCTCAAGGTTAGATGTGTTGTGTGTTCAGAGATGCTCCTCTGCAGACCTCGGTTGTAACGAGTGGTTATTTGTGTCACTGTTGTCTTTCTATCAGCTGGAACCAGTCTAACCATTCTCCTCTGACCTCTGGCATCGACAAGGCATTTGCCGCTTTGAACTGCCGCTCACTGGATTTTTTTTTTCCGGACCATTCTCTGTAAACCCTAGAGATGGTTGTGCGTGAAAATCCCAGTCGATCAGCAGTTTCTGAAATACTCAGACTAGCCCGTCTGGCACTAACAACCATGCCACGTGCTCGATTTGAACTGCAGCAGATCATCTTGATCATGTCTGCATGACTAAATGCATTGAGTTGCTGCCATATGATTGCCTGATTAGAAATTGGCGTTAACGAGGAGCAAACGGGTGTACCTAATAAAGTGGCCAGTGAGGATAGATAGATAGATAGATAGATAGATAGATAGATAGATAGATAGATAGATAGATAGATAGATAGATAGATAGATAGATAGATAGATTGATTGATGAAGCTGTACATGCAGTGTTGTTATTATATATTCTGAAGGCTTCAAATATCTTTGTTTATGTGTGGTTGACCTCTGTTTGTTGCAGGAGGACGGTGCGTGAGATTGTGTGTGTGACGCCTCCATCAGCTTCAGGATCTGGACCTTCATCTGTGAAGCTGTTTATTGATAAAGCAGAGATCACCAGCGACACCCGCTACATCTACACTGAAGACCCAAATATCTCCACCATCGAGCCCAACTGGAGCATCATCAAGTACATCAACAGCACCTCACGCACACACATGCATGTATACATGGTTTACAAGGACACTTCATAGGCGTAATCTATTTTATGCTGTAAAAAAACTCTTATTACATAGCCCTACCCCTGAACCCAACCCTTGCAGAAACCCTGTGGCAAAATTTGAATTTCAAAAGTCCTCTTTAAGTACTATTTTGAATCGTTCTGAATTACAAAGACCTGAGGTGTTTGACCCTGTAAACCACCTTATTAGAGATCAACTAAGGCCCCGTTTACACTAATTCATTTTAGTTTGAAAACAAGTTTTGCTACGGTTACGCCATCCGTCCACACTACGCCGGAGTTCTCGAGCGCCGAAAACGTAGCGTTTCGAAAACGCTGGAGAGGCCGTTTTCATTCTGAAACGCTGCTGCTCCGTCTCAGTATGGATGATGGAAAACGGAGACATCTGAAAACGGAGGCGGGGCTGCAGACATTCGCCTCTCTGATTGGGGCTTTTCCTCAATATTAAGTAGCCTAACACACACAGTTCAGTCCTGCTTCTTCTCCGTGTAAGTTCAGACTTCGCAAGTTTGATCAAGGCTGCAGTCTCTTCTTTTCAGTTTGATATGGAAAAGCAGACTATACCGAGGACACGCGTCAATCTTCAAAGAGAACAGTGTACTTTATAACTTCATTCACATCGTCCTGGCTACGTTGTTTCACTTTCTCAACAATAAAATGTAAACATGATATAAGGAACTGCCTATTTTCATTTTAATATTAACAACTAAACAGGCAGCAGAAATGCTAAGGCGTCGTGCTGCATATATGAGCGTCAACTTCACTGTGTGGATATTTATAACAAAACGGAGCCGATAACAACTGCCTCCTTTCAATTTCAGTGAAAATACGAAACATACCCTCTGATTTGCTGAATATCAGTTTTAATAACCGATAATGGCCATTATAAAAATATAACATACAATAAGTTTATACATTATAGGAATTAAAGGCAAGTGATCAGTCAATATACAGAATGTACTTACATTAATCATTAACTTATCTTTGCGCTCAGCCAAAACACGTTACCTGAGAACAAGTTATAGATTCCAATGACCAAAGTCAGGGAACATGTCGTTAGATAAAGACAACAACATAAATGAAATATCACGTTCAGCAAATATAGTGAGATTAGATCCAGCGGGAGATGCTTAATGAGAAGTCCGACAAGCAGAGCTCTCATCTGGGTAGATAAGCTGCAGCTTTGCCAAATAGTGTGTGTGTGGTCACTTGATGTGCGTTTTCAGTGTTTTGGTGTGAACGGAGAGCAGTTCAGAAACGCTGGGCAAAACGCGAGTGTGGACGCGGGTCGTTTTCATTCTAAAACGCCGTTTTAAAACTAAAACGCACTAGTGTAAACGGGGCCTAAGTCTTACTCATGATTTTACAACTTTGGCCGCATTTACACTGCACTGTTCAAGTGACTCAATTCTGATTTTTTTTTCTCCTATGTGGCACAGATCGGACAAGGCCCATGTACGTGTAAGCAGGAACAAATCACATGGATTCCGATTTACTCTAATCAGATACAGGCCTTGTTCATATGTGGAAATTTATCCGATATGAATCGGATCTGTGTTCTCATGTCTGCAGTGTAAGCAGGTAGATCGGATTTTCACCTGTCAATGCGAGTCGCGCGCTATTAAAAACCATAGCGAATGACGTCAAGTCTGACACCTCCAATTCTGAACAGACTTCAGCAGAGTCCCAAACCTTAAATCTCATACACGAGGACTTAAACAGCTTTTATATTGTCATATAGCACAGGTGTTCAAGCATTTTAATGAGAGCGAGAGAGCACAATGTCCGCCACGTAACCAATATAAACTAATAAAAAACTTGTGCATACATTATGTGCATAAATCCCGCCATGGACATTACATTAAGATGCCTAAAAGTTTAAAAAAAAAAAGCCTATATATCAAAAGAAGATGGACAAATGAGAACCTTTCTGTCATAAACTATAATAAGACATCTCGTCAAAAGCTGCAAACAGATTACATACAGGAATAGAGGAAAGAGCGCTCTTATTATCAGCTTTTAGTCAGCACCCTTTTTTTTCCTATTCATTCTGTTTTTGCCGTGTGCTTTGTAAATGCAGACGATCGTATACGAGTCACTTTTAAAAGATGATGTAAGCAGATCATAAAAAAATCGGATACAGTCACAAAATCGGAATTGACCATCAAGATCTGCAGTGTAAATGCAACCTTTGTGTCCCTGTAAACCACATATACCTGTACAAACACACACTGTGGCTCTGATTCAATCCAAATCATCTCAAATATTTATCAGAAAAGTTAGAGTTAGATGTTTGAATAACAACTAGACATTGTGAATATTATACAATTGTTAATTATGTATAAGAACATGTCTCCTTTGGTTTTTAATTTCTTTTTTTTTTTTGTTCCTATATTTTATTTTTAACATCTATAATCAATATTAAATACAAACTGCATTGCTTTTTTTCTTCATTTCAGTTATAAATACGTTAAACAAATATTATATCGTCAAAATAAATGAGATGATTTAATAAAATAATCAAAATATTTCAAAACTGAAAGGGCTAATTACATGCAAGTATAATTTTTATTGAATTTTTTTTTGTAAAATTTATTTGTTTTGAATATTTGTTGGCTTCAGAGCTTTTTTCTTAGTTCCAATTAGTAATATTTAGAATTTTGCGTAAAGTGCAGATCATAGAACGCATTAAGAAAGACATAATTTTCCCACTCCCTCTTTACTAGAGCCTAAATTCTGACCTGGAGCTGAGCCACAGTCATGCACGCACAGTTTGAGGTCTGCCGTGTAACTGAGATGTTATTTGTTTGTTCTGACAGCGGCAGCACAAGCCTCACGGTCACAGGAACCAACCTGCTCACCATTCAGGAGCCCAAAGTCAGAGCCAAATATGGAGGAGTGGAGACCACAAACGTGAGTTTCTGACCAGCCTGTTGTTTACATCACTCATGCTGCTTCTAAATGATGATGCACTAACAGGGGCGCCAGTTAGGATGATTCTAAGGACCCACACACTTTTGGAGCCCCCAATGCTACTATAAGGGGCCCAACACTAATTTCAATTGGTACATTTTCTTGTATAAAATGGACCATCTGATTGGTCAATGAACGTCAGTCTCTTTGCACCTGATGTGAATGTTCTTCTGCAGATCTGTAGTCTGGTCAATGACTCTGTGATGACGTGCTTGGCTCCGGGCATCATCTACACTAAACGTGAGGCTCCAGAAAGCGGCGTTCACCCGGACGAGTTCGGCTTCATCCTGGATCACGTCTCTGCCCTCCTCATCCTCAACGGGACTCCGTTCACTTACTATCCCAACCCGACCTTTGAACCTCTTGGGAATGCCGGGATTCTGGAGGTCAAACCAGGATCACCCATCATCCTGAAGGCAAGACTTTTGGCATAATCAATCATCATCATCCCTAATTGACGTTTTACCCATTTTCCATTTGGCTGAATTTAATGTGCTTCTACTTTCTCTTTATAAAATCACAAAAAATGATGAGAATAATATAAATAATTAGAATAATAATATGGTATCTTCCAAGGAATGAATAAATAATGGAAAGTGAACTCATATAATACTACATGCCTCTCTATTTTTGCGTAATACAAGGAAAAATTATAATGTTTTTAATTTTTTCATTCTTAATTTTATCATTAAATTATTTTATTTATTTTTATTTATATTTTAAATAATTTCCATGCTAAAAATATATGTATAATACAACATGCCTGGATACAATGGTTGTATTATTATTATTATTATTATTATTATTATTATTATTATTATTATTATTATTATTCATTCATTTATTGATTTATTTTATTTTCGGCTTAGTCCCTTTATTAATCATGGGTCACCACAACAGATTTATCCGGCATTTTATCCAGCACGTTTTGCGCAGTGAATGCCCTTCTGGCTGAAACTCATCACTGGAAAAACACCCATACACACTCAACCACACATACACTACAGCCAATTTAGCTTACCCAATTTACCAGTACCGCATGTCTTTGGATTTGTGGAGGAAACCCACGTGAACACAGGGAGAACATGCAAACTCCATACAGAAATGCCAACTGACCCAGCCGAGGCTCAAACCAGCGACCTTCTTGCTGTGAGGCGATTGTGCTACTCACGGTGCCACCACGTCACACCTATTATTATTATTAATATTAATTGACTTGTTGATGTTGGTATTATTTCATATTATTCAGTTCTTTTTTGTTAATAAAGCTAAACTAACATACTGTATAGTACACCATGTCTTAATACAGTGATTTTATTATTATTATTATTATTATTGTGTTGTTGTTGTTGTTGTTGTTGTTGTTGCAAATCTATATACATTTCTTTTGTGAATGAATGGAATAATGCAAGCAAAATAATATTATTAATTATTATTATTAAGTTCTATTTTTTAAATAATGCTTTTTAAGCCCAATTTTTATAGTTTGATAAAATTAGTTTATTGTTATTATTAATTATTATCATCATCATTCTCGTGTTGTTTCAGTTGTTTAAGTTTTATATATTGTTATTATATATATATATATATATATATATATATATATATATATATATATATATATATATATATATATATATATATATATATATATATATAAATTTATATGTATATTTGGACTGTTCAAACATACTAAATGTGAAAAACAAACTTGTAAATGTTGAACAGTTGGTGTTTAATTTACATTAAATGTGTTTAAACTCATAGTACAAAACGTACATATTTCAGGGTCCCCTCAGAGACTTGAAAAGTCTTAAATTTTTAAACTTTAGGCCTTATAAAATCCTAAATTCACTGAAATACTTTAAATAATTTTAAACAGGTCTTATTTTTCCTCTGTCCAAGTAAAGCTTCCCAATTGGGCAGACATCCATCCATTCACCAACAATCCATCTCAAGAAAACCTTTTCTTTTTAATATTTATGTTTTTTTTTATTGCAAAGAGGTACAATTTACAATAGCTGTTCAACATTTTTACAGCAATTTCTCTAAATCAAATTAAAGAAAACTAAAAACAATTACTCATGATAATAACAGAGAAACACATCACTTGAAACACACAAAATGATACATTATACTCAATCAATTTGGACCAAAAGCCAACAAATGTATATTTTTGATTATTTCTGTCATTGTTTCAATAATAAATAAACTTTCAGGAATGTTAAAATTGTCAGTTAAAAAAAAAAAAAAATATATATATATATATATATATATATATATATATATATATATATATATATATATAATGTTGAAAAAAAGTGTCTACAACTAGAGTTTTTTTGTGGAAAGCAACAGGGCTATTAGAAATAACCTTTAGTGTTTAGCCCTGTTTAAAGTCTAAAATTTAATTTATAATGGTCTTAAATTTCACTTGATTAAACCTGCAGAAACCCTGATATATAAACAAAATTAATAATTGTTTGACTTTATTTCATGAAATTCATCATGCAAGAAATGATACCATACACTTTTGCAACTTCACTTTTTGGTGCCTTTATTTCTTCAACAGGGCAAGAACCTGATTCCTCCTGCGCCTGGGAACATCCGTCTGAATTACAGCGTGACGATCGGAGAAACGCCCTGCCTGCTAACAGTCTCTGAATCTCAGCTGCTCTGCGATTCGCCAGATCTGACCGGAGAACAGCGAGTGATGGTGAGCATCGTTTTCCCATCATGCATTACAAACGGCTAATCAATAACCAGCTGGCACAAAAAACACACTCACCTCCCAATGCAGCGGCAGAGGATTTACGACTCCCGTTTATTGAATATCAACCAATAAACGTGGCAGAAAAATGAATGGATGGCCGTAAGATTGCGAAAATGCTGAATGTTTGCTTTGCATAGACTAACGCGCATTGTGTGTCTTATTTAATCAATCTTGTAATGAGCCACTGCCGCATGGCCATTTTTTAGCTTAATGCTAAAACGGAAAACATAAAGGTCAACTGGAAGTGGCTTGCCGTACATTAAGTGCTTATTAGGATTATAGGGAGAGCTGATACAAGCAATTTCCCACATAATCTTGCTATCTGCTCACCCGGCAGCTCAAACAATTATTACAAACAGCAGACAGGAGTCCTTCATAACCTTCAAGAAGCCCTGACATATGCTTAGATGGAGAGTTTGAAGCACGTTCAGCCTTGCTTTTATAATAAAGCCTGTTATTAATGGTTACAGCTCAAAAAAAGCATCCCTGTTATTATTGCTCATACTTGGTGTTAGTCATTTGGACAAAACCCTGTACCGAAGTATTAACCTTTCGCATGTAGCTTATTGTACTGACGTGAGTAACACCTCAAATCGAATAATATATATCTAGGCCTGTCACTATATCTGATTTTTGTTGTATGATATATTGCACCAAAGTGTGTGTGATAAACAGTATTACTGTCATTTTATGCCACTCATTATACAGGGTGGGCCATTTATGTGGATACACCTTAATAAAATGGGAATGGTTGGTGATATTAACGCCCTGATTGTGGCACATTAGTATATGTGCGGGGGCAAACTTTTCAAGATGGGTGGTGACCATGGTGGCCATTTTGAAGTCAGCCATCTTGGATCTAACTTTTGTTTTTTTCAATAGGAAAAGGGTCATTTGACACATCAAACTCATAGAGAATTTCACAAGAAAAACAATGGTGTGCTTGGTTTTAATGTAATTCAGACAACAAAGTTAGTGGGGCCATTCTTCATCAATGGAAACCTTAAGGCCACTGGATGTTTGAAATTGCTACATGATGATGTGTTTCCCTCTTAATGCACTGAATCTGGCACGTCAAGTTTTTCCAGCAAGATGGTAGACCAACACATTATGGGTGTCAGGTCTGAGCATTCCTAGATGAACAGTTTCCTGAAAAGTGGATTGGTCGTTATGGGACAGTTGAATGGCCCCCAAGGTCTCCCGATCTGACCCCCTTAGACTTTTATCTCTGGGGTCATCCGAAGGCAATTCTCTATGGTGTGAAGATACAAGATGTGCAGCACCTGAAACTATGGATACTGGAAGCCTGTGCTGGCATTTCTCCTGCGGTGTTGCTAGCAGTGTGTGAAGAGATGGAGAAGAAGGTTGCATTGACAATCCAACACAATGGGCAGCACATTCAACACATTTTATAAGTGGTGAGAAACTTGTAAATAAGTCATGAAAGAATAAAGCAACATTAAAACAGAGCACACCATTGTTTTTCTTGTGAAATTCCCAATAAGTTTAATGTGTCAAATGACCTTCTTCCTATTAAAAAGTTGGATCCAAGATGGCCGACTTTAAAATGGCCACCATGGTTATCACCCATCTTGAAAAGTTTGCCCCCTCATATGTACTGATGTGCCACAAACAGGACGTTAATATCACCAACCATTCCCATTTTATTAAGGTGTACCCATATAAATGGCCCACCCTGTATAATGCTAGTATTATAATTTAATAGTATAACAATGCAAGTACAAAGACTATTTTATTATTATTTTATATTTTATTTATTAAAAGATTGTTTATTGTTTACATAGATCCCCATTAAAGGAAATTCTTCCCTCTGTCTTACAAATAAAAGGACAAATTTACATTACATTATCATCAAAACTAATACTAATACCAAAAAAAAAAAAACATTCAATTCATCTTTATTTCTATACTGCTTTTACAATGTTGATTATATCAAAGCAGTTTAACATAGTCTCATCCTCTCCACTCTTCCATGACCACCACAGCATCTGCTCAGGATACGGCCTGGTCCAGGAGGAACTATGCAATGATAGTTATTAAGATAGTAGTTGGGTACTATGTGTATGAATAGGAATGTAGAATAATATCATATTTTGTAACTACTAATAAATCTTAATAGTCATCTTAATAATAGCTATTAGTTATTAGTGTGAATTTTTACTTAAACTAAAGTATTACCTTTATATTTAAACAAGTAACAATTGTTAAAAAGTCATTTGTTTGTCAACTCGTACATCTTGTATAGCCGATCAAAAAATCACTTCTGAATCAATTTATTTAAATACGATTTCCTGAAAACCTGCATTAGTGTGCATTAGCGCACACATCATATCATGACATGACCTTTGCTCGAGGGATCCTTCAGATTGTCTTCAGAGAATCTGCTTTTGAATTATTAAATTGCTTAACGTTTTGCCAATACCATTACCTCAATGCAAACTCCATCAGACTAATTACTTAGAGAACTGATCAATGGCATCACAGCAAATCAATGCTAATAAAATCCAGGACTAATTATGTGGTGTGAATGAGCGAAACCCTAATCCATACCTTTCGATATTATGTAAACGTGCTCGTTATGGTCCCTTATTTAATCCAGCACCTTCCTGTTTAGATTGATCACCACAAGCTCTGCGGAAAACAAAGATTGCGTGCATCAAAGAGCAGATTATTCAGTCGAGCTTATGTGTAGAAACTCATAAGAAAAGGAAATAAAGAATGAAGGAGATGGAGAGAGAGAGACATGGTGGGATTGAGAGTTCACTCAGCTAATGACCTGACACATATCGACAGCGCTCCAGGATTCACTTTGTTCCCCTCTATCACCGAGTCTCAATAATTCATGCAGCCACGCAGGACTCAAGCAGCCGCGGAAAGGTGAAACTCGTTAGGACAGACGGCTGGATGCCGCGTTTAATTGGTCCGTGAATATCGCAAGCCAGAGTTCCTGGTACCACGCCTCAGTCGGACCCCGTCTCAAACCAGACCTCTATTACCTGCTGATTTCTGCCTAATTGCCTTCACACCTGTGCCAAAGTGACTTTCTGAAGTCATTTGATGTGGATTAGTGGTCGCGCTGTCTGACGGAGAGCCGATTGTTCACTCTCCACCGGTTGGAGAAACGCAACATGAGCGTGTCAAACAAGTGTGTAATTCTACGCTAATTCTAATTGCGAGCTGATTTCATTCAAGAAGAAACAGTGTGAGTGCCCTCAGCCAATCAAAAGCCCTCATTATGGCCCTCTAAAGCCAGCGGGTCGTTAGATTTGAAGGGTCCGTGATCAACTCATCGCCCGGCTCGACTGTACGCTCTGAGAAAGCAGTGTCAGCAATGAACCAATGTCAAATTGAGTTCTTGAACCGGAGTATCATCATAAACATTTATTAGTTCTGTCTTAAAGAGGACCCATTATCCCTTTTCTATAAGTTTAAAGTAAGTCTTTGATGTCCTTGAGTGTGTATGTCAGAAGTGCAAAAGAGGGCCTATGGTAACCTTTAGTTTGGCCCACCATGCCATCTGAAAAGAGAGGGAGTATGATGGGGAGTTGGTTGGGGTGATTGCCTTTGACAGAGATCATCACTTGATCTTATTTAATGTACCCTTTAGTTTATTTTTAATGTTTTAATTAAATGTTGTAAGTATTCAGACTTTTAAAATGGAAACAGTCAGTTGACATGCACAAGACAACGTGGAGCAAATCAAGACAAAGGCAGGAGCAGTTCGATTAGTGTATTCTGCATTGAACTCTAGTGTGTTATAAATTGAATTATTTATGTTTCTGCTCTATTAAGTTCATTATAAAATGTTAAAAATTACACTAGATCAATGATTGGCATGTTTAAAGCAATGTTTTCTAGTTATTTTTAAATATTAGCAAATAAATGAGGACATTACCCATGGCAAATTTAGTGTAATATGGTTTGGAATATTTAACTTTGGCCCACAGCTCTCAATCAAGTTTGGTTTGTAGCCATTTATAAGAAAAAGTTTGAGCAACACTGGTGTATGTGAAGTTTCAGCTCAAAAACCCAACAAATACATATATTTTTAATTTTTAAAATTGCCACTTTTAGGCTTTGATGCTAATTGTGCCGTTGTAGTGACTGTCGCTTTAAATTCAAATGAGATTGTGCTCTTTTCAAAAGAGGGCAGAGATATGGGCGTCAACATAGTATCAGATTGTCGCTAATGGGTGGGGCTTTCACCCTCTGATGACATACAAAAGGAAAATGTCAATCAAAGTGTTTTTTCAGACTGTTTTTATCAAGTGTGATTACAAAATTACAATGAGAGGCTCGTTATATTCACACACTGTTGCCACACAATTGTGTTTTAACCCCTTATAAAAGTGATTCTTACATAATGGGTCCCCTTTAAAGGCAGGTTTTACCCAACATATTTGATTTTTCTGTTGATTTTTCCCATAATCCAGCAACATAGAATTGCTTTCCTTTCGTGAACATACAGTAAAGCATTTTTAACTGAAATTGTGATTTATAGAATTCAAATCAGTGGCTAGCAGAATTTTAAAGGTAGAGATAGAAGGGATAAATCAACATAAACATATTTTTTTGTGAACAAAATTTTTATTTTATTTTATATTTTTGCATTTATGAGGAAAATGTTTTGTTACGGATGTTCTCCTGGATTGGCCAGCCCCGTCACCTGAAATAAAGATTATTGAGCAACAATTTTATTGTTTATATATATATATATATATGTTTCTATATATATATATAATTTTGACACTTCCGCTTTTAGGCTTTGATGGTAATTGTGCGGTTTTGGTGGCTGCCATTTCATATTCAAATGAGAGGCTGGTAATGTTCACATACTGTTGCCACACAACTGTGTTTTAACTCCTTTAAAAAGTGATTTTTCATAATCTGGCAATGTAGAATGTTCGTAAACATTAAGCGTTTTTAACTGAAATTTTGAATTATATATTTCAAATCAGTGGCTAGCAGCATTATGAAGGTAAAGTCCAGAAGTTATAAATCAATATAACATATTTTTTGTGATAGAATTGTCTCTCTATAGAACAAAAATTAGTATTTTAGTTTATATTTTTACATTTATGAGAAAAAAGCTTTGTTAGGGATGCTCTCCGGGAATGGCCAGCCCAGTCACCAGAAATAAACATTATTGAGCATGTCTGGAGTAAGATGAAAGAGGAGGCATTGAAGATGAATCCAAAGAATCTTGATGAACTCTGGGAGTCCTGCAAGAGCACTTCCACACTTTATTAATAATATATTTGAGTCATTGCAGAGATGTATGGATGCAGTCCTTCAAGCTCATGGGAATCAAACACAATATTAACTCTTTTTTCAGTCCTATTCTTGGACTTTAATTGTTTGCTTATCTCTTTTTGTAGATTCTTGTCGGCGGTCTGGAATATTCCCCCGGAATGCTTCACATTTATTCGGACAGCACTCTCACGTTGCCTGCCATCATCGGGATCGGAGCAGGTGGAGGAGTCCTCCTCATCGCCATCATCGCTGTGCTCATCGCTTACAAGCGCAAGACGCGGGACGCCGACCGCACACTCAAACGCCTGCAGCTGCAGATGGACAACCTGGAGTCCCGGGTTGCGCTGGAGTGCAAGGAAGGTAGGTTTTTTTGGGGAGGGGGTAGTTCAGCATCTGCGCTACATATGGCCCATGCCAGGCTGTTTCTGACAGGTGTGTGGTGCGCTTTAATTAGCTACTAATGATTTTAACCCGTAGGATAAATCAAATGGAGCTGCGATGCGTTGTTTTATCTTCTCCCGTGGGTTGTTTTGAGAACATGAGTGAGTCAGATGTGCTCTCCAAACTGCAGTAGCCTGGATTCTTGCAGAGTTTGATGCAGTCTTTGCCGAGGGATTGAACTGGGTCATGACGTCATAATGTCCTCATCCTTTGATACCGGTTTTATTCACGGCTCTAAAAGGATCTGTAGCTCAGGCAGAACATGATGTGGTGTTATTTATGCATTTGTTAAAAGAATGCTCCGAGATACTGGAATGAATGCAACTTTTCTGTTTATGCGATATGTTTGTCATTTCTGTCATTTGTCACTGGGTATACTGTTGCAGAAATGGAGACTGAAACTGATGCATGCATATCTGTAGTTTTAAAGTGATATAAGGGGTTGCATATTTACATTACATGGAATACATTAAGGCCCAATCCCAATTCCCCTTGGCCCTTAAAACCGAGTGTAAAGTGGAAGGGCTTTACAATTTAACCCTAGGTGTTGGGACAGCACTACAGCACTTGCACACATAATCATATGTCATCGCGATCTCATGCTTCAATTCATGCTTCAGATCAAACGATGGCGACTGCTGTAGTTATCCCAGTTGTGTTATTTTCTGGTATTTATCTTCAGGAAAACACTGAAGGCAACAATATCATGTTATCATAACGATCTAATGTGGCAATAAGATCATAACTGTACTGTGCATTTACACTGTCGCCATATTCATCTATGTAAACACACGACAACAACATTAAGATTATAGCAGACACTGTAAAAAGCTCATTCCCAGCCAATAGAGTTTTCTGACAGGTTATTCCAGTGTTATCGAGTGTCAGAATGTTGTAGGACTGCTATACAAGAGTTATTATTAGGGATTATAGATAGCGGAATTTATCGGTTTTTATTTTAACGCATGACGGTAAAACACGAACGTGGTTATGAATATATTAAAACGTGTTTGTTTGTTGTAAAAATAACAACAACAAAAAACTAATTTGTGGATTTCCTTACTTCCGGGTGCAGTCATGCTGTCCTCGTGGCTGGTGTGTTTTAGGAAATTTTCTTACCCCTTGGTTTTGAGTGTGGTTCTGAAAAATCCCCTTTCGAAGGCAACAACTCTACCCTTCCCCCTTAGCCCTACGCCTTTAAGCTAAAGAGAATTGTGACAAAGTGAGGGGAAGGGCTGAGATGTAGAATTAGGATTGGGCCTAAATTGATTAGATGCACAAAACATTGCACTTACTGATAATCTTCTGAACTTTCTATCCATACAAGACTCCTGAGAAGAAAATGTGTGCTGGTTTTCCCAAGATTGTAGACAGCACAACTGTTTTTAACATTGATGATAATAATACGAAATGTTTCTTAGACACTAGTGACTGAGTAATTTTAGAGTATTTATGTTGATTCAACTGTGATTAAAACACACAGAGAGACAAACATAAAATACACACTGCCTGACAAAAGTCTTGTTGTCGATCCCAGTTGTAAGAGCAACAAATAATAACTTGACTTCTAGTTGATCATTTGGAAAAGTGGCAGAAGGTAGATGAACTGCATCCCAATCATCACAGATACCGCAGAAGACCTATTGAAACACACATGGACCCAAGATTCTCACAGAAATCAGTCAAGTTTGGTGAAGGAAAAATCATGGTTTGGAGTTACATTCAGTATGGGGGTGTGCGAGAGATCTGCAGAGTGGATGGCAACATCCACAGCCTGAGGTATCAAGACATTTGTGCTGCCCATTACATTACAAACCAGGAGAGGGCAAATTCTTCAGCAGGATAGCGCTCCTTCTCATACTTCAGCCTCCACATCAAAGTTCCTGTAAGCAAAGAAGATCAAGGTGCTCTAGGATTGGCTAGCCCAGTCATCAGAAAAGAACATTATCGAGCATGTCTGGGGTAAGATGATGGAGGAGGTATTGAAGATTAATCAAAGAATCTTGATGAACTCTGGAAGTCTTGCGAAGTTACTTGAGTCATTGCAGAGATGTATGGATGCAGTCCTCCAAGCTCATGGGAGTCATACACAATATTAATTCTTTGCATTTCATATAAACCACTTCTGATACCAAATGATCAATTAGAAGTCAAGTTGTTATTTGCTGTTCCTAAAACTTGTATAGACGACAAGACTTTTGTCAGGTAGTGTAATATGCTTTAAAAACAATCTAAAGATTACAAAAAGATTATTTTAAATAGTGCTGTCAACAATAGTATTCTTAAGCAGCCATTAAAGCTCATTTACAGAGAACAATTGCTTCAATATTCATTATTTAATCAGTTCTGTATAATTTAATTCAATCTTTGATTCTGTGATGGATGTTAAAACTGCCCAATTAGACAGTAAATGAGTGTCTGATCAGCATAAGCAAAGCAACCAACTACATTACAGATGAAATAAATTACATTTGAATCTTGTTAAGCTTATTGCAACTTTATAAAATAGATTAACGATTCTTAGTTATAAAGTCCATAAATCTCAGAAGAAACATAATAACCATGTGTTCTCGAAATCGGATCAAATATCCTTTAGTATTAGTCTGTCAAAGCGCGTGAGGTGTTCTCCAGTCTGACGAGCGCTTTCTTTTTGTTCTTTATTCTTCTAAGCATTCGCTGAGCTGCAGACAGACATCCAAGAGCTGACGAATGACATGGACGGTGTGAAAATCCCTTTCCTGGAGTATCGTACCTACACCATGAGAGTGATGTTCCCTGGCATCGAGGAGCACCCGGTTCTGAAGGAGCTGGACGTAAGGGAACTTTTAAAACTCTCTGTGCCCAGGTGGCGTCTGTCACTCACAAGTGCCAATAAGTAGGTTGCCATCAACTCATAGACCGTTTTCTTTTAATCCTTCTGCCAAAAAAGGAAAGCAAAAAAAAACCCTAGATGTGCTTTAAAAAGATCCCCTAAGCTCTGAAGCTACGGTACTGCTGTCTCAGTAGTGAGCTTCAGAGCGAACGCCCCTCTTTCAGCATGCTTTTTAATTAAAACCTCAGGCAGAATGAAATCAGCAGCCCTGCAAGGCCCTGGTGGAATAGCCGTCTAGAGACGTGCCTTACCAAAAAATGTTTTGAAAATAGTCAGGAAAGAACAATTAAATCTCACCGCAGCAGAGCTTTTTTTTATTTTTTTTATTTCAAGTATGCATTCAGGCAACAATTGTTGTTGCGCGTGTTTCTCTCATCTCTTTCCTGCCTATTTTTTCCATTTATGTTTTGTTCTCCTGCTTTTTCTGACGTTCAATCAAATGCTCTTTTCAGTCTCCAGCTAATGTGGAGAAGGCCCTGCGCTTGTTCAGTCAGCTGCTGCACAACAAGATGTTCCTGCTGACCTTCATCCACACGCTGGAGGCGCAAAGGTCCTTCTCCATGCGGGATCGTGGCAATGTGGCCTCCCTCCTCATGGCGGCACTGCAGGGACGGATGGAGTACGCCACTGTGGTTCTCAAACAGCTGCTAGCCGACCTGATCGAGAAGAACTTGGAGAACCGAAACCACCCTAAACTACTGCTTAGACGGTAAAATTATGGAGCTTGATCATTTATATTACCTCCTTTACTTAGCAAGCCCCAGAACATGTAATCAACTGCAAAAAAGGCACAACCAGAACATTTTAGCTGCCTAGCTACCCCTAAAACATATTAGAAACTGTATAGCAATGCCATAGTAACACCCAGAACATCTTAGCGGTACTATGGCAACAATCTTTCAACCCACTTTGAGCCCTTTAGAGCAGCATACTAAAAACAAACAATACTGTACATCATTTGCAACCACCTTATGATGACCTAGCAATGCTGCAGAATATCATCATAGAAACATCTGTACACCAAGGTTATTATGGTAGCAAAAACGAAAGAAAAAATTGAAAACTAGAATTGAAAAAAAAACGTTTTTGTCAACTAAAATAAATATGAGAGTTTTATTTTTAAACTAGAACTGTAACTGTATTGTGTTCACAAAAAACGAACTAAAAATAGCTAAAATTATTGCAAAAACGTCCTTCGTTTTTGTCTTTGTAAATGTATTTTAATACATGCTGTTAGAAGTAAATCTATTTAATTTGCGCTGCCAAGTGTTTGACTCTTACAGCACCTTAGTCTGTAATCCAGATGCCATCGGCCAAATCAAGTCCGTCCTCTTCCAGTAATCCTCGCTATTGCTCCCGTGACAAAAACAACAGCTGGATATGACAGCAACATGGTGACAAAATTAAGTACGACCCGAGCAAACACTTAAAAACATTAATTTAACACATTTGTGCCCAATAATGGGTTATATTTCTGTAGTAGTGTTCGTGATCAAGAATTAATCGTTATTGTTAACCAGATCTTTTAAGTGAACCGATTGAACTAATTCACCAAATCAAACTGAATCATTTGAAATGATTTGCGTCTCCAGTAACGTTAAGCACTTATTCACAAACAACTTACTTTTTATCATGCCTGATACTCCCTCTGACTTGAAATAAACTAATATATGCTGAGTTATTCAGTTATTAGAACATTACACAGAGATCAGATTTGAGAATCGGTGAATCGCTAATGCTGTACATGCGTAATTTAGTGAACTAAACACAAACAGTACATGACGGCCTGCTGAGACTGAGCTAAATGGCTTAAATATGATGGCTTAAATGAAAGATTCTGGCGAAACGCACGTTTATTTCATTACTAAAAATGGCAATGGAATTTAAATAAGTGAATCATGCTTCAGTTGGGTTGCAAAACTTAATTGTGAGAAACTTTTCAGATCATGGTGATGTTTTAACTGACTGAAATTACAATTGCTGACCACATATTTTTGATATGTTGAGTCCAAACTTGGGAAGATTGTCATAAAAGATCCAGTTCACTTTAAAGATCCGAACTTTCCATCGCTACTGTGTATCCAACCTCAGAAGTAGCCTTGCACACATATTTTACTTAAGGCTGCTATTTTGTGGGCTGTTGTATTTGAATTTGAGGATGGGTAGATGGTAGTGGTAGATGGTAGCGTTCTTGTGTCCAAAAAAAAAAAAAGTAGCCAATCTTTGGTTGAGTTTTATTAAACAATATTTATTATGATGATTTTAAATATTGCAGAACTAAAACTTATACTGAAATGAATAAAAACTAAACAAAAACTATGCAATTTCAAAATATGAAAACTAATGAAAAATCTAAAACTATTATACCCTTGCTTTATACCCCTGGACCGCTTTATACTCTGCATAGCACCATACTAAAAACACTCTAAACACCCTACACAACCACCTAGCAATGCCTAGAAACAAACCCCAGGATATTTTAATAAATAAATGGCAACACCTTAGCAACCTTAGCAACAACCTAGCAATTTCATAGCAACCCCATAATTTCCTGCTGTAGAATTCCACCCCAAATGCATAGCAACACACTGGCAACCTCCCGGATATCCTTAGCATTGTAGCGACCACATAGTATACTCGAGTAACTAGTTAGCAGCATGCTGAAGTTACTAAGAACACATTAACAACCATGTAGCATACAGGACATTGAGAACAACCTAAGAACCACAATGTGCATTTCTATTTGTTTTTGCAGAACTGAATCTGTGGCAGAGAAGATGCTCACCAACTGGTTCACGTTCCTTCTGCACCGCTTCCTCAAGGTTTGTGATCTGTTTAATATTCAGTACTTTTTAAAAGGATCATGAACAGCTGTATTTGTCTAGTTTTCTAAGGTCAGCTTACAATGTTATTAAAATTGTTACGTCAAAAACATCATTATTTAGAAGTGATCGGCTGTTTTTGGTTCTGCTTTGACCCCACCCATCAGAACACAGTTTGAATATGTGTGTCGGAGTCTCAAGTAAATGTCTGCTGGTGTGATTGACTAACAGGTTTACATTTTAAAGCCGGAAAACAGCATGTGTGCATCAAATGTGTGCATTAAATACAGACATTTAGTTAAAAACTATAAACGCCATTAACCTAAATGAAGACTGAAAGGTAATAATCAGCAGTCCACATTTATATTGTCTGTTATTTGAAGCAAAAGAAGTCCATAAAGTTCTCAAAACTCAAACATTCTCATCTTTAGATTATCTATTACCTTAATATTGGACATTGGTACTTAAAGTAAAGTGTAATCATCATTGTTGGGCAAACTACTTGAAAAATTTAGTGAGCTAAGCTATTAGCTACTCTACTTAAAATGTAGCTTACCTACACTAAAATATACCCTCTGGAAAATGTAGCAAGCTAAGCTAAAAGCTGTTTTTGCAATTCTGATCAATAAAACATTCAATGAAACATATGAGGCATAATTGTTCAGTTGAATTATTTACTGCAAATAATGTGCTGTACAAATTATAGTATATAAAATACAAAATCCAATAAAACCAGGCGTTTTAAAATACTAAAGTAATTTATAGTATTTAAGTTCACATTTGGTATCAATCAATACTCAAGTTTTAAAAACGTCATTTAATTTCAGGTCAACAGTTCACCGAACTTACCGCTATTTACTGAGTCTAACCACAGATACAGGGACACTGGAGTATTTCATAGTCTTGTCGATCAGCTGGTTTGTCTATAAGCTGACGTACAAACGATTCGCTGATGAATCACGTCTTTAAAATGCTCCAGTGTCCCTGTATCTGTGGACACTGATTGGACTAATTAACAAATTAATTATAGTACTTACTATAAATTACTATACTATACTATTACTATAAATTACTAAAGTATTTTTGGAGCACAGCATCAGAATTAACGTTATTGCTTCTTAACAGGTACTTCTCAGGGTATGTTCACAAGGAATTCTGCTTCAGAAATAACTCCTCTCCCTCAGTCATCTTTCCATCAAGCAAATTTCTCATGTTAGCCCAATTGGTTGGCGACATCACCGAGCAGAGCAAGAGGTGGCAGTTACGCACCAAAAAGTTTGTAGTCGACCACTGTAAAACAGGAAGAAGAAGAAATCGTCGTTCTCGCCATCATAGGGATTTACTTTCATTGGCTAGACACTGGCCTCACAGCTCTGTGAATGTGAGTGCCGTCACTTGTTGTTCCGCGATCGGTAAATGTAGCTTGTGTGGACGCTACTTTCTTACTTGACTAAAAAAAATTGCTTTGCTACTGAAAAGCTATTTGATTTAGAAAGTAGCGATGCTGTAAGAATTGAAATATTGCAAATATTCTGATATCTTTGACAATTCAAAACATGAGCTGAAAACAGAGACTGGTGACTTCACAACCCACCAGTGGGGAATGCGGAAAAACCAGTTCCTGCTGCATTTGCATCTGAGATTGCTGAACTCAGCTTCATCCCCCCAACTCACGCATATGGTCATTTGAATGTTTTAAATTAACCAAACTGACTTTAACCATCATGTTTGATATCATTTGAAATGTCTCAGTGCGATTGGTACAATGGTCTCATTCTCTCAGAAATAGACATAATCAGAACAATAAATATATAACTTCAGGCATCTTTTGAACCACTGTGAGGGGTGTGACTTTTCCACTAAGTGTGAATGCCTTCTTTGTTATTCACACCCCCTTCCTTGAGGGAATTCTTGGATTATTTAAGGTAAGGTCTAAGAAAAACTCGGGGCGATTCTGCCTAACCAGATCAGCCCATAACATGGGGTCTGCCCCATGTTATGTATATTTCAAAGTCAGGAATGCATCTTTTTCATCTTGGATTTATCTTTGATAATTTGATGTTTTGTATTGATAATTTATGAATTGACTGATTGAATTGACATAATACATTTACCTGACTAATAAATTGTAATGTTTGACCATATTTTGCTCACTCTGTAATTATTAATTCAAGTAGATTACGCTGTATCCTTGTTTCCGCACGTCTTGCGTCAGGTCAGTAGACGGACTAAAATCCAATTGAGATGGAGCACTGGCACACTAATTGTGTTTTAGCGATCCGGCTGACTCTTGGTATTGATTCATGTGTACTTAGGTGGAAAGGGCGATAACTTCCGTCTAGGTCAACAAGGTGTTGCACGACTAACCTAGATTGGGTACCCGACCTTTGTTTGAAGGTAATATTATTCTAAATTAAGTTCATATGGGAAACCATGGGCTTGGTGAAAACCAAAGTTACTATAGAGTCCAGTAGTCGGGTACATTTATATTAATGCCCTAACCTCTAATTAGAAATGATGAATGTCTTAACTCAAAGGTGTACATCTAAGCGGGACTAACTAAAGTATTTTAGAACGAGCGCGCTGGTAGCGGCCATCTAAAGTATTAGTCAATTTACCTATGTTTAATATTCAAGACTGACCGGAGTGTGACCGTGAGGGACGCCTTCGGCCGAGGCGATTTCTCTGAGCGACATGAGCACCCGAATGAACGGATGTAATAGTTACTAGTGAAGACAAACGGTTCAAACATTTATCTAAATTACATATTGATATAATCTTCTTAATGTTTTATAATTGGAGTCAGATAAAACAAGGATAAATATATTAATATTCTAAACCATCTCATACTAAAATTGGAGTCAGATATGAGTTAAGTTTAATATAAATCAACATTGTGCACTGGAAAGACCGAACATGCAGTGAACCTTCATCCACCAGTGGACACCGGCATTGGGCCAACTGGGTGGACCTTACAATGCTACAGTCACACTCCTGAGAAAAGTAGTTGAGTAAGTAACATCACTACTTATAGCGACCCTACTGCCCAACACAGGTAATCATTCATTCTTTTCAATTGGAGTCGTTACGAACCTTGAGAAATGGACTCTCAATTCCTCAATCAAGGAATCAATTCTGTTTGAAATCGACTCTCAGTCGTGCTTAAGGTCTTTGCTCACTGAAGTTCGAAATTTTCATATTCGTTTTTTCTGATTTAAACCCAAAAAATTTATAATGCATACAAAACTTACATGCCGAGTCCGATTCGTATTAAATAATCCATTGCAAAATAATTTGCAAAGCAGTACAAAATTGGAGTCTTTGAGTAGCAAAGTTGAGTTGTTGTCTTCTCCCTGCTTAACAAAAAAAAAAAGGTGGAAATATTGGGTCCATCCCATCCTTAGAGTTTTACCTCCCTATCAAAGAGCTGTGGGATTATCCCCACTTATTCAAGGTTTTCTTCATAATAACTTTGTATTGGCGAGGCAGTGGCGCAGTAGGTAGCAAGAAGGTCGCTGGTTCGAACCACGGCTCAGTTAGCGTTTCTGTGTGGAGTTTGCATGTTCTCCCTGCCTTCGCGTGGTTTTCCTCTGGGTGCTCCAGTTTCCCCCACAGTCCAAAGACATGCGGTACAAGCTAAATTGTCCTTAGTGTATGATTGTGTGTGTGAATGTGTGTGTAGATGTTTCCCAGTGATGGGTTGTGGCTGGAAGGGCATCCGCTGCGTAAAAACTTGCTGGATAAGTTGGCGGTTCATTCCCCCCGGATTAATAAAGGGACTAAGCCGACAAGAAAATGAATGAATGAATGAATAACTTTATATTGTTTTTATATTCTATACTTTGCTTATCATAAAGTGTGTTGTCTCCGACACCATTTTGAGTTTTGCCTTTTGCTTGTGCGACAGCCTTCAATTGTCAAAACACCTTTTAAAATGCCTTTTCGAATGCCGAAATGTAAAAATTCTAATCCAATAAAAAAAAATTTATGACATACAAAATTTTCAGAGGCAGTATGTCAACGCCATTGACACAACGTGTGGTCGAATTTATTTTTTAACATGCAAAAATTACAGAGGAAAGTTTCGGATTCAGCGTGAAACATATATTGAGTCCACCTTTGCTGTCTTTTCCACATCTGGGAGAGTTGCGGTGTGGAGAAGCCCCAAAGAACCATCCCGTCTAGCGTCTTGCATGCCCAGAGTAAAACAAGGAGGTGAATCGGTGATGGTGGATCAGTAAAGGCAATACCATATTCAACCTTTAGAGTGTTTTTATTATGTAATGATGTCGAAAGACCAAGCAAATTTCAATATCTCAGTTCAAGACCTCTTCAATAATGTGCTCTAATTGAGCAAGAGCCTCAATCATCTTGTTTATAACAACATTTTTCCGTGCTGACGTTTTTGACGGACTGACTCATAGCAAAGCCCGCTAATAAATCTCCCCAAAGCCCACGCTCCAGATATCACCTCAGGAATGCCACAGTTTGCTCAATCCCACATCCGTCAGGTGCTCCAGAGGTCACCAAGATGCCGTACGAATCGGGCTACAGCTGATAGAGATGGCTATTAGCGCCGAGGGCAGGAACATCAGGCCCTTTGTGCATTCAGGGCTGGAACGAAGCTCTGGCTGGCCGCCCGGTGTCTTTACGTCCCATCAGTGCAGATGTTAAAGTGTTTTGGCCTCCATACAGGCCTCTAGAAGTAATTACCAGCAAATGCCTTCTCAGTACGGCTCTATTGCTCTGCCTGGGTGTGTGCTTCTATATCAAGAGCCAAAGCATTTATATATAGTGTGTTTTATATTTATGTCACTGTGCATAAAACAAGTTTTGGGGATCTTTGTAACAACATATTGAATATATAAACGTAATGTGTATATATAAATGTCCACCTTGAATCATTACTTCCTTTAAAAATTAAAGTTATTCTCTTGTTGTTCTAAAATTTTATGGGCCTTTTTTATGTATTTTGCGCAAGGAGAGTTTTAGCCAGAATTATCTGGTCTTAAACTGGATTTGCTTGGCCTCTAAACCTGAAAAATGTCTGTAAAATATCTGTCAGCCTGCTGACATACTAGGATGGGGATTAAGTCATATGATGAAAACTAACTGTAGCCTGGGGCTGTCGATGAAATCGAACCAAAAACTATTTGCTAAATAGCTTGGTGTCGTATTGCAAGGAAATACATTCAAATAAAACAATCACCATCAAAAGAATCCTAAAATGTACTATAAAAAATTCTGTATTTTGATAGACTTACGAAGTAACCAAACAAAATGTGTAGGTGCGCACACTTCGATTGTTGGTTCTGATGCGTTTCCTTGGTACAGTACGGCCAATTTAGCTTATTCGATTCACCTATAGCCCATGTCTTTGGACTGTAAGGGAAAACCAGAGCACTTGGAGGAAACCCACGCCAACACGGGGAGAACATGCAAACTCCACACAGAAATGCTAACTGACCCAGCCGGGTCTCGAACCAGCGACCTTCTTGCTGGGAGGCAACAGTGCTACCTGTGTGATAATGATAATGTGATATCACCCGCCAGGTCATCGATACTAGAGCATACATGTAAATAAATTATAAACCCTCTAGTGGTGTAAAAAGAAAATTACAACCAAAAAATGGGTCCAACAAAGTGTTTTTGCTGAAAATTAGCTCTAAGTTGCTTTGCATTTATCTATAATGTTGGATATCAAATATAAGATTTCCATGCTGTTAGTGTGGTCATTCAATGTTTTGCTTTTCAGCTGGCTAACCTAGTTATCAGACCAGAAAATGGCAGCTTATTTTAATGACATTAGTTGGAATTATGTAAGTCTTGTGGATTTGTTTTCATCTAAAACTTAAGTTAAAATGAGTTTCCCTTTAACTTGATAGTCCGCAGTCAAGTTAAGTAAGATTTTCATCCTTAATTTCTGTATGTGCAACATCAAATTTTGAGTTAGTGTTTTGTAAGTTTACTTTTGTTAATTTTGAAAGTCTTTTGTTTTGTTTTGTTTTGTTTCGATTTGTTTTGTTTCAATTTGTGAAGTTTCATTTAGATTTTTTCTTTTCAATATGTTTTGTTTTTTTGTGTTTAGGTTTATTTTGTTTTGGTTTGGAGGTTTTTTCCATTTCGATTTGTTTTGTTTAAATTAGTTTTGTTTACTTCGGTTTGTTTTGTTTCAATTTGTTATGTCTCATTTCGATTTGTTTTGTTTCAGTTTGTTTTGTTCTGTTTCGATTAGTTTTGTTTCAATTTGTTACATTTTTGTTTGGTTTCGATTTGTTTTGTTTCAATTTTTTGTTTCAATTTGGTATGTTTCATTTCGGTTTATTTTGTTTTGTTTCAATTAGTTTTGTTTCAATTAGTTTTGTTTTATTTTGTTTGGTTTTCAGTTGATTTGTTTCAATTTTGTTTCAATTTGTTATGTTTCGTTTCGATTTGTTTCGGTTTGTTTTGATTTGTATTATTTTAATTTATGTTTCACTTTGATTTGTTTTGGTTTATTTTGTTTGTTTCTGTTTATTTTGTTTTGTTTAAATTTGTTTAGGTTTTGTTTTGTCTCATTTTGTTTTGTTAAGATTTGTTTTATTTCAATTCATTATGTATCATTTAGTTTTGTTTCATTTTGTTTCAATTTATGTTTGTTTCAATTTATGTTTCGTTTAATTTCTATTTGTTTCCTTTTTTATTTCATTTTATCTTTTCTCTTCTTTTCTTTTCTTTTGCTTGAATAATTCCATTAGAGTTTTACAAAATAAATTAATACAGGTTTAAACAACAACAATAATAATAGTTGCAATAATATCGAATCTTCATTTAGATTTTAAACTAGCCCTACAAAGCTTACATAAGCATCTGAAAAGCAATATTAAGGCCTTCCTCTTGTGCTTTTAATTCGTGTCATCTGCCTTTACACTGCATACGTTAAACTGTGTGAATCGTACGTTCAAAGAAACCTGGCGCGGCTCTTCCGACACGCATCTGTTGTGTCATAACAAGGTCTAACGGCCAGATTATGAATAATAGACAGAGCCAGAATCATCACAGCCTCCAAAATGCAGCAGATTTGATGTATATATTAAGCCTAAATGTATTTGACATCGAGTTCGGAGGCTGCTTGTTTAGAATGATTTGCTTTTACGCGTGCAATGGATGCTGGGTAACCCTTTTCGCCTGCGTTCGAAGAGCATGATTCAGGATGTCATGCTGTAATTAATAATGTCAAGCTGATCTCGCCTAAGAACTAAATAATAGCCTCCCCTCAGTATCGCTGTTTAGTCATCAAACGCTTTTAAGTGGGTAATTGGAGACTTCTCTACACTTCACAAATGCCATCTGAAAAGAGCTGTGATCGGCCGTGTCTCTCATTTTCTGCACGCATTTATTATGTTTTTCTTTCTTTTTTTTCCTGCATCCTTTTGGTCAGAATGTGTCTTTTTCTTTCACTGCTCTTTCCTCTGTATTTAAAGCTGCAATTAGGCGTTTTCGGAGAGTGTGAAAATTACAGCTCATTGTGGTTTTATTGAATTGATGTTCTGTGGTATTTTGCACAGGAAGTTCTTTAGTGTGTTCTTTAAAGGTAAAAGGTTTTAAAGGAGACTTGTAATGGAAAACAACATTTTCCTGCTCTTTTGGACATTATGATGCTGGCGTAAGAGTACTTAAACGTTCACAAGGTTTATATGCGCAAGAAATGTAAGCACTGTACTAAATGGGGTTTGATTTTTGTTGCTTTTTAATTTTTTTTATCCTTAATTTTTCTTTTGCTTATCAAGGATGCATACACTTCTGTACAAACTAAATAAAATGTAATCATTACTATTTCAAAAAACTTATATATGTATGTGATTTAGACCTTAATTTAGGCTTAATGATCCATTAGTACAGGGGTTCTCAAACTTTACAGCCTGCGACCCCTAAAATAACAACACCAGTGACTTGCGACCCCCTCTATTCTCGGAGGCAGTTATAAGCATACTAATATTGCATACAATGGTGCACACACACCAATAGGAACTATATAAACAAGCTTATTGACGACACAAAAATGCAACAGTCTATTTTTAAAAATTATTATTCATTTGTTCAATTTAACATTAATTGCACTTAATGAGAATGGTGAGCACAATGTTTACAGCACAAGACTATGTTTGGTTCAATTTTGGAGACTTGGAGATCGTCCTTCTTGTTTAGTCGTGGCCTCTTTTTTTTTTAAATGTACAGTATGTGAGTGCCATAAAGGTGTCAAAGTTTAACATTGTATCATAAAATCAATCTGCGGCAACTATTGCTATTGATGTGATGTTAATCTAGCAAAATAACCCCAGGGGTAGCAATCCAACGAAATTTTTTTTTTTTTAAACTGATGATTTTTTATTTGCATGTTTTTTTTATGTAACTATTAAATATTAACTCTATATTAAATATATTATACGTTAAAAACTATTTTTATATTCTGCAGGTTATGGAAACAATTTGATAGTTCTAATAATTTAATAAAATAAATGAGATTTTTAGAAATCACCAAACCCCCCTCCCGACCACTGCGTTAGTAGTATGATTTAAGCGTTTGAAAAGAATTTATCATTGTTTATATGAAATTGTATGTTTTTCTTACATCATAAGTTTATTTAAGTTTAGTTATGCATTATTTAAATCAGTTCAATGCATCCTTGCTGAATTAAAGAAATTGTATGACCAAATTTCATGCTTGTTAAGCTTCACAAAATGCTATGAAACAGCTTATTAGTTAATTAGTGCTGTAACTGAGTGCAAACTTTTTTACTGTATTTATTGGCCAAAGAACAAATTAGTTTTTTGAAAATGATTTCATATACATAGAGTATTAAAAGCAAATGAAGTATCTACTTCAAATGATGATAATGTTTCAGATATTTTTGTTTAAATAAAATGTCAAAATATATTGGTGAAATAATGTCCCATCATCGTTCAGCATAATACTGAGATATATAAGTGCCTGAGTGGTCGAGTGCCTTAGTGTCCCACCAGTGATAATATACAGCCATATCACACTGCTACGAGTGTGATATTATGTTTATACAACACTTTGAGGGCATAATTGTGTATATAAATAAGAAAATCAAACACAGAGAGTCTGAAAAACCTTTTGTAGGTGGAACTACTTCCTTTCGCCAGTCGTTCTTATCTGCAGCTGACCATCAGAAAAGCAGAGACCGTTGCAACTTGACTAATGTCACTTTAGAGCTAGTAATTGATGATTCTCTAGCGCAATGTCTAAAGTGATGACAAAACAGACTGAACGGCATGAAATGCCATCAGTCTACAGAGATTTCTCAGTATTTCTCTGTTGTTATTGGGATATTACAATAATTAACCCCAAAAAGCCAAACCAAAGCACAAAAACACTAGCAGATTACTATGGCCAAATCTGGAGCTAATCTAACAAAATAACATATGATGATGGTTTACAATGAGTACACCCAAATTTATGTGTTATGGAAAAATATTCAATAAAAATTTTTAAAAGAGCAAAAACATTTTGTTGACATTTTGTAACATATATAAATAATAAGAGATCATACACATTTTGATATTTTAATTTAATTAATTTAGTATTAAGAAGTGGGTGTGGAGGATAGTGGATTTAAAGTACAGAGATTTAAAATAACAATTAAATAATATTTTATTCCTGATCTGACAAGATATTGTATTTATTTTTGGAATATAAACTCATGATATACTGAATGACATTTTAGTGGGTGTCTTCTTTAAAGCATTTCTGCCTGTTGTTTTGATGTTTATAACCCCCTTTTCTTCTTTGACCCATATACGCAGAAATCTGTTTTAATTCTGTAGGTCAGTGTAAAGGTGGAAGCGTTGCTCCAAGAAACCTTGACTAACATCATAAGTGACCTGAGGGAGAAAATGAGATGCATCAGAAGTGTAGAAATGACCTCTCTGTGTTTCTCTCTCTCTCTTTCCTTGTGCAGGAGTGTGCGGGCGAGCCTCTGTTTATGCTGTACTGTGCTATAAAACAGCAGATGGAGAAAGGCCCCATAGACGCCATCACAGGAGAGGCCAGATACTCCCTGAGCGAAGACAAGCTCATCCGACAGCAAATCGACTACAAGCAGCTGGTCAGTGTCCCTGTGGTGACTCTCTCTCTCTCTCTCTCTCTCTCTCTCTCTCACACACACACACACACACACACGTATCCCATAATTCCTCTTTCTGACTCCCAGCAGCCCCAGAGCAGCACAAGTGTTTGACTCCACATTGACTTCATATACATTTGAGCAAATCACTTTTTCAGTTTTCCTGCTCTGAGACATTTAATATCGAATATCATTCCCAATACAGTACTTGTATTTTCCTAATGATGTAGATGCACATTTTGGCATGGGTCTAAATTTAATTTAACAGTAGGGAGTGGAAAATAAATATAATTTTTTCTCATGAGCAATTTTTGAAAGGGACACAAATAAATTGTATATAAAATGTATTTATATATATGCGCAGAAGTGTCCACTTTAATTAATCTAAGGTCAGAATATAAATTGATTATAGAAAAAATTATTGAAATTATTATTGAAAAAATGCAGTGTGGTCAGTTCGGATGTAGCACATTGATTATTTAGTACATGCACAGCTAAACAATATGCTAATTGTGGCTGTTACTGTTAAGTTAACATTATTCTAAGTCATAACAAATAAAGTGTGTTGCAGTGCACTATACAACAAGCTATTGTCAACAAGCGTTAGCTTGATCAGTGGTTCCCAAAGTGGAATAATCAAAATCAAATAAATGTGATTTAATTTATATAAATATATATACAGTTGAAGTCAGAATTATTAGCCCCCCTGAATTATTAGCTCCCCTGTTTTTTTTTTTCCCCAATTTCTGTTTAACGGAGAGAAGATTTCTTTAACACATTTCTAAACATAATAGTTTTAATAACTCATTTCTAATAACTAATTTATTTTAGCTTTGCCATTATGACCGTAAATAATATTTTAGCAGATATTTTTCAGACACTTCTATACAGCTTAAAGTAACATTTAAAGGCTTAACTTGGTTAATTAGGTTAACTAGGCAGGTTAGGGTAATTAGGCAAGTTATTCTATAACGATGGTTTGTTCTGTAGAATTTCAGAAAAAAAATTAGCTTAAAGGGGTAATAATTTTGTCCCTAAAATGGTATTTAAAAAATTCAAAACTGCTTTTATTCTTGCCGAAATAAAACAAATAAGACTTTCTCCGCAAGAAAAAATATTATCAGACATACTATAAAAATTTCCATGCTCTGTTAAACATCATTCAAAGGAGGTTGAATAACTTTCTAAACACACACACACACACACACACACACACACATATATACATATTTATTATTTGTTGTTGTTATTATTCTCGTTGTTATTAATATTAATAATTTGTTAATTAATATTATTATCTAATTTTCCACCATTTGGTTTATATTAGATTATTATGTATTTTTTCCATATATTTTGTTTAAATAGGCCTACAAGTATACAACATTAAGTTAAAGTTCAAACAGGCTGCTAAAATCAGCAAAACAAAAGAAAAACATTTGCAATACTTCTTAAATTAGTGCTTTATAATAAATACTTTAAATAGGGGGTTACTTTTAAAAAGGTTCTTTAGACCTTTAGTTGCCCATAAATCCCTAATGATATAATATCTTTAATATCCATGCTTTAAATATCCAAAATAGCTTATTTAGGTGTTCTGAGTTCAGAAGGCTAGCATCCTTATTTTATTTATGTATTTATTTATTTTGCGTCAGATAAATTGTCTGATGACAGTCAGGGCCAGTATTTCATTGCTCCATATTATTACTGTCGTTTTCACAAAAGGGGCAAAGTTAACCTTCATAAAAAAAGTTTGCTTTCTAACTGGTTTAGTTAGACTCACCGTAAAGCATAATCGAGTGTATTTACTTGAGATAGATACTCTGCAATGATGGATATTTTGATAACTGCTTGTGTAGGCTATTTGATTTGTTCGCAAACTGTCTCGGTTATAGTGTGTGATGGTTATTGGCGCGCTGGTTTGAGTCCAGCTGCATGTCCATTCAGTATGATTCCCCCTCTCTCAGCTTCTGTTACTACATGTACAAGTGTCTCAATGATGAAGACTGTTTGAATTCAACATTTTGTTCTACGACGAGCTTGGTTAGCCTACCTTTGACTGGACAGTTCTCTAGTGTCAAAATAAGGGACTGTCCTGGGAAAATTGGGACATCTGATTACCCGTATGGGTGACTAAAACAGGGCTCTTCAATATTCTGATTGAGCTACAGTCCCTCTGAGCCCTAGTTTAGCACCAGCCTCACTGTTTTTGAACAGCATAACGCAAAGAGGGGTTTTTCGTATCATAGCAGTGTAAATGCAGCTATTGTGATGTATAAGTAATTTTTTTAAACACTGCGCGGGTATGCAAACTGTATACATGGCCTTGGCTGAAGTACAAAATCATAATAATAAGTCTAAATCATAATATATTAAGTATAATTCAGCCTTAACAGAGCGGAGTCACGTGACTCCTCAGTCCACACACGGTAGGGAAAGTAATTGAAAAAAACTGACCTGGAAAAATTTGATCGATTATAGATTCTGAATGTCGATTTCGATTACTTTTCGATTAATCGCCCAGCCCTAAGATGGAGTTTAAAATCGTCCAGTGCATATAGAGAGAGAAGAATGTTTTTAACAGGTGGTTTAACAACCCCACTCACTGTTGTGAGGCACACTCAGAAATGCACAATGTTTTTATAGATACATATAGAGTGTTTTGTAAGGATGTTGTATTCTCGATAATTAGTTTCAGTTCGAAGCACATCAACGTACTGAAATAAAAGTATAAGCAACTTCCAATTCAAGCAGACTTTGAAAACCTGCAATACAGAAAAAAATGTCTTCCTGAAAAAAAACAAAATTTGTGAACAATAATTACCCGGTTCATGTGAGCTTTTTCAGAAAGATCATATCAGAATAGGTTATAAAGTGACTTTTGAGCGCAGTGTTTGTGAAAGATTCAAGAGAAAAAAACTAATGAAGTGAAATGTGTGTGGCTTTCATCAGATGACTGAAACAAATCTGAACATTTATCACAGCAGAACAAACACAAAGCTCTTCATTAATCTATTAGACGGACTGAAAAAATACACTCTCTATCTCTCGCACACACAAACATGACTGCACAAAAGAGCATATTTACTGTCTGCGCATTGATTTTAAATGGAACAATACGAGTCGACCAATGAATGAGCTTTAATCTATGGCTCCTCAGTGGTAGTTAAAGCTACAGGACAGATCATCAATAGCACAGTATTCAGGATAGATCAGCTTAAAGGATTCAATTTGTAGCCCAGTTATTCAGCTGTCTTCAGTGTCAATCCTAAAGAGAGGCCTCGGGGGGCCCTGAGAAAAAGGTCAGGCTCACCTGTAATGCTCCATGCACAGTTAAACTCAGAATTATTAGCTTTCCTGAATTATTAGCCCCCCTGTTTATTTTTTCCCTATTTTTGTTTAACGATGATTTTAATCCTTCATTTTTAATAATTGATTTATTTTATCTTTGCTATGATGACCTTACATAATATTTGACTAGATATTTTTCAAGATACTAGTATTCAGCTTAAAGTGACATTTAAAGGCTTAACTAGGTTAATTAGGTAAATTAGGGTAATTAGGCAAGTCATTGTATAACAGTGTTTTGTTCTGTAGACGATTAAAAATAAATATTGCTAAAATTGGCTAATAATATTGACCTTAAATTGTTTTTAAAAAAAATAAAAACTGCTTTTATTCTAGCCCAAATAAAACAAATAAAACTATATCCAGAAGAAGAAATATTATAGAAAATGCTGTGAGAAAATCCTTGCTCTGTTAACATCTTTTGGGAAATATTTGAAAAAGAAAAACAATTCATAGGCAAATAATTTTCTGTACTGTATTCCCCAATTTCTGTTTAACGGAGATATTTTTTCAACACATTTCTAAACATAAAAGTTTTAATAACTCATTTATAATAACTGACTTATTTTATCTTTGCCATGATGACAGTAAATAATATTTGACTAGATATTTTTTAGGACACTTTTATACAGCTTTTGTACAGGCCTAATTTAATTAGGCTAACTAGGCAGGTTAGGGTAATTAGGCAAGTTATTGTATCATAATCATCCTATTACAAATTTAATCATTTATACATTGTTTATGTTGTTAACATTATTAAATATTTATTATAATTAATATTATTAAATATACAACTGTATTATTATATATAGTATTTTTTTTAATTACCATAATTGGGATGAATAATTTAGTAAACTAAATTGTACAATTTTATACATTTTCTGACTTCATTTTTGTTTAATATTTTCTCAATTCTATCAAAAATGTAGCCAAATAATTTGATTAATTATACCTTTTTCTAATATTTATAATATGTATACACACTCATATAATTATAATTACTATTATATAATTGCTACATATTTATGTTGTATTATAATAGCATTAATTATAATGATTTGTAAGTATATTTGCAATGCTGTTTTATATAATACTTAAAATTGCTATTATTTTTACATTACATAATAAATCATATATTGTGTGTATTATAAAATGTTTATTATAATAAAATATGCATCTATATAACTAACTATTTTTTTATAACCAATATAATGAATATGTCATATGTATATTACTATTAGCTACAAGTTTAATATGTGTGCCACCTGTAATGATAGATGATTTCATAAATTGCCATCAATGTATACTATTATTTATGGCTAGTTAAAGCATCAATCAAATATCTAAATCATTAATGTTCATTTAAATGACATTAATAACTAATATTTCAAAATTTAGTTAAGAAAAATGTGGGAAAAGAACATCTTTTGGCCACGAAGCAGTTCAGTTAAGCAGAAAATCTGGCTGTGGGAGTGTGAACACGTGCTGGAGAACACTAAAGTCACCTTTACACATTTACACACACACACACACACACACACGCACACACGCACACACGCACACACGCACACACACACACAAAGGGAGCCAAAGACTGATCCTTATGTTGTTAAGCTTTCATAAAACCCTAATTTTCTCCAAGCTCCAAGTTTCATCCCAATCCTAAACCAGCGCCGGATGTCCTAAATATAGCTCTTTCTCCGGGAGACCTCCATAATTTACTGTGTAATTGAGTTGAAATCACGTGTGGAGCTGCGTCTGGAGTCGCCGTGAGCTAATGATCAGCGAGTGGTCACGATTACAGATGCAGAGTCGCGCACCACTGCCAGATGCATTGTTTTAATCACACGATTAGCGCGCACAAAAGCTCCTCTCATGAATTTATATGGACTGTTGTCACGGGGTGAATGGAGATATATCAAAACACAGCCCCGTAAGAAACACTCGGCTCTTTAATGTAACTCCACTGCCTGTTTACCAAGCTGTTATATGCATTTTACAGTACTAGCTTGGTAATTGCTGAAAGCAGCGTAAATGAACTGATGCACATTCTACAGCTTATTTGTGAATTGTTATTAATGCAGTATAATAATACGCTTTTAGCATAGTAAATGGTTCATGCACTTTTTAATTTAGTTTTATATGGGCACTTTTTATTGTATTTCTATTATTTGAGTCTGTTTTTTTATTGTAGTTTGTTACGTTTTTTACTTGTTTATTTAATTTTATATTTTCATTATTTTTTTTGTTTTATTCTACTGTTTCATTAGATTTTTATTGCATCTCTCTTTTTTATTTAATTGATTTGACTAATATTTTCCTTCATTCTATTGTTTAATTATTTAATTTGATTTTAATATGAAACTTTATTCTTTTTGTTTTTTAATCTGTGTATTTTTTACTTGAATTTTATATTTAATAAATTTTTTTAATTATATATATTTTTATTTTATCCCACTGTTTAATTTGATTATTATTACATCTGTATTTTTAATTAATTGTTTGAATATTATTTTTTCTTTCATTTTATTGTTTATGTAATTTTTTATTGTTTATTGTTCATGCTAATTAATTTTTGTTTAAATTTTTATTGAAAGTTATTTTATTTTTTCATTTAAAATTTTTATATTTTATTGTAAAAATTATTATTTTTTAATAAAAAAAACTACAAAAAAAATAAAAAATACATTTTCGTAATAAAATGGATTTGAATATTATTTATTTATATTTTTCTTCTCTTTAATTTTATTGTTTAATTATTTAATTAATTATTAATTATTTAATTTGTTTGATTTGATTTTCATTCCATCTTTATTTTTATTTATTTGTTTGAAAATTATTTTCTTTTTCGTTTTTCTTTTCTTTTATTGTTTAATTATATAATTAATAAAAATAAAAATAAATTTTATAAATTTTTGTATGGAATTTTTATTAAAAAATATTTTTCATTCTACTGTTTGATATGATTTTCATTCACTATTTTTATTTATATTTTATATATATTTATTTATATTTTTTCTTTAATTTTATTATTTAAGTATTGGATTTTTTACATTTTAAGTATTTTAAGCATTTTACTAGAATTATTTATTTAAAATTGATTCCATTTTTTTATTTTAATTTATTTTTGATTCATTCTACTGTTTGATTTAATTTTCATTACATCTCTATTTTTATTTAATTGTTCAAATATTGCTTAATTTTTTATTAATTATTTTTAATTATTTTAAATTAGTTAATTTAAATGAAGCAATTAATTAAAATTTATTTTGGAACTTTATGCTAAATACTTTATCATTAGCCAGTCATATAAAAGTCTCGCATCCAAATTCTGTGTGTGTGTGTGTGTGTGTGTGTGTGTGTGTGTGTGTGTGTGTGTGTGTGTGTGTGTGTGTGTGTGTGTGTGTGTGTGTGTGTGTGTGTGTGTGTGAGTGTGTGTGTGCGTGCGTGCGTGTGTGTGCAGTATCTTTATTCTGAACACTTCATCTCTCATTGGTCAATCAATCAAAAGTCTCACCTCCAAAGTCATACCATTGGTTGAGTCAGTACTGCTGTTCTCTTCAGGCTGCTAAAAACAAACAGATCGATATTTTGTGAGCACAAGCGAGCCTCTGTTTACACTTTTCAGAGAAATGGCCCTATAAATATCCTACTCATACTTGTCTCTGCATATTAAAGAGAGATATGAGCGACTATTGAAACATGCGCAAGATTGCTCACTCCAGCCTGAAGTATCTTTTACCTTCAGAAGTGCCATATGAGTTGCTGTTTGTGGCCGGATCAATCGCCTCTTGCCGTTTGTTTTTATCGATCTGTGAGCGTTTTATCAAAACCTGCACGTTTCACATATTCCGAATGCTGCTTTGCTGGCGGATAAATATTTCAGCATTGACATAACAGTTAAAGTTGGGATGGCTATTATGATAAATCAAGCTCGAGCCTGAAACGGGATCCCGATCAATCTTTGATACACAGGCAGAGCAGGGGCAAACTGAGATCCAGTCGCACACTGTGTGGAATCAAATGTGCCTTGACCTTTCGCCATGCTCTGAAGGCTTTGTGTTTGGTTTTGTGTAGGTGTTTGTTTATGTGTGTGGGTGTTTGTTTGTGTGCGCTTGTGTATCTGTTTCTGTTTTGTTTGTGTGTTTGGTTTGTTTGTTTGTGTGTGTGTTTGAGTTTGTGCATGTTTATGTTTGTGCTTGTGTGCATATGCATTTAAGTGCCCGCATGTTTGTGAGTGTATGTCTGTGCATTTGTGTTTGTTTTTGAGCGTGAATGTGTGTTTGTGTGTGCACACATGTGTGTGTTCCTGTGTGTTTGTATGTATAAATACATATATAAGTATGCACTTATGTATGTGTTTGTGTGTTTTGTTTGTTTGTGTGTTTGTTTGTGTGTGGATGTATTTGTCTGTGTGGGCATATGCATGTGCGCATGCATTTGTGTTTGTGTGAGTTTGCGTGTTTGTGTGTGTGCATTTGTGTAAGTGTATGCGTTTGTGTGTGTGTTTAAGATTATCTGCGCACATGTTCATGATTCTGCTTGTATTTGTATGTGCACACATTTACACACCTCTGTGTGTGTGCGTACGTATGTTTGTGTTTTATTTGTTTGTGTGTGTATTTGAGTTTGTGTGCATACATTTCCATGCTTGTGTGAGTGTGTGTCTGTGCCTGTTTGTGTGCATGCAATTGTGTGTGTGTGTGTGTGTGTGTGTGTGTGTGTGTGTGTGTGTGTGTGTGTGTGTGTGTTTGTAAATGTGTGTGCGTGTTTGTGTGTTTGAGTGCTTAAGTGCACACATGTTTGTGCTTGTATTTGTGTGTGCACATTTCTGTGTGTGTGCGTGTGTGTCTGAGTGTACGTGTACATGTGTGTGTGTGTGTGTGGATGTATGCATGTGTGCGTGTGTTTGTGTGTTCACATGTTTGTGTGTGTGCAGTTGTCTCCTTTGTGTATATGTTTGAGTTTGTGTGCACACATTTCCATGCTTGTGTATGTGTGCGTGTGTGTCTGTGCTTGTGTGTTTGTGCATGTATGTGTTTGTTTGTGTGTATGCAAATGTGTGTGTGTGTGTGTGTTGGTGTATTCGTGTGTGCATGTGTTTGTATATGTTGGCGTGTTTGTGTGTTCATTTGTGCATGTGTTTGTGTGTGTGTGTTTGAGTTCGTGTGCGCACATGTTTATGTTTGTGCTTGTATATGTGTGCACATGCATTTGTTTTTTTTGCATGCCTTTGTTTGTGCCTGTGTATGTTGGTGTGTATGTGTGTGTCTGTTTTGTTGGTTTGTGTGTGTGCGCGCGCATGTTTGTGTGCACATGCTTGTGTGTTTGTGCATTTGTGTCTGTGCGTGCGTTCACGCATGTGTTTGTGAGTATGCATGTGCTTGTGTGTGTGTGTGTATATATATGTTTGTGTGTGTGCACGCTTGTTTGTGTGTACGTGCTTGTGTGTTTTTGCATTTGTTTCTGTGCGTGCGTTCACACATGTGTTTGTGAGTATGCATGTGCTTGTGTGTGTGTATACAAATGTTTGTGTGTGTGTGTGCGTGTAAATACAGTATTTGTGGTTTAAAGTACATTTGTTTGTAAAAGCTGAAACTAAGGGCAGACTCACACTGTGCGCTTTTGGTCATGATCTGTGTTCAAATTGTTCCTCAAATTGTGTCAGAAGGTTTGAGTCACTATCCTGCAGCATGACTTTGACTGCACCCACTGTCAAGACAATAACCATCAGAAGTGCTGAAACTGACTTTACAGTCCATATGCGTGTGTTTTGTGTTGTTTTCTGAAGTGTTTGTCTGTGTGTGTTTTAGACGCTGATGTGTATTCCTCCTGAAGGAGAAGCCGGGACAGAAATCCCTGTTAAGGTGCTAAACTGTGACACGATCACTCAGGTGAAGGACAAGCTGTTGGACGCTGTTTATAAAGGCATCCCGTACTCGCAGAGACCACAGGCGGACGACATGGACCTGGGTAAACAACTCACTCAATATACACCAGTACTGCGTTTATTTTGGTTTAACTCTGTTTTATTGATGCATATTAGTCAGAGAGTATCAAAAATAAAGAAGCTGTAAGACATCAATTGTATCTATCGGCAGAAAACAAATTTAGTTCACATTTTCTTCCACTCTGAATCTTTAAAATTATACATTCTTGCATCATTTGGGAAGATTACTATTATTTTGAACATGGGATTTTCTTTGCATGTGTGTCGTTTGCTCTTACTTTCTTTGTCTGTCATGTGTTTGTTTCTGTTTGTTCTTATATTTAACTATCATTTGTATGTTCATTCTATCTATCGCTCTGTCTATCAGTTGTTCTGTCTTTTATTCTGTAGTTCTATCTTTTCTGTCAGTCTTTCTTTTTTCAGTCTGTTTTTTCATATTAGGTCTATCTCTTGTTCTCTTTATTGTTTGATTCATTGTTAGTTTAGTTATTCTGTTGGTCATTTGGATCCATCCATCCGCCTATTCATTTCTTGTTCTATTGTTCAAACATTATATCCATCCAATCCATTCATCCATCCATTTTTGTTCTGTTGTTCTAACATTACATCTATCCAATCCATCCATTCATGTAATGTTCTAACATTATATCCGTCCATCCAATTCATCAGTCTATCCATCTATCCATTAATTCCCTGTTGTATTGTTCTAACATTATATCCATCCATCCATCCATCCAACCCATTCATCCATTCATTTTTGTTTTATTGTTCCAACATTACATCCATCCGATCCATCCATCCATGCATTGTTCTATTGTTCTAACATTATACCCATCCAATTCATCCATCCATCCATGTTTTGTTCTATTCTTCTAATATTATATCCATCTAATCTATCCATCCATCCATCCATTCATTCATTTGTTCTATTGTTCTAACATTATATTCATCTAATCCATCCATCTATCCATTGATTTTTGTTCTGTTTTCTAACATTATATCCATCTATCGAATCCATCAATTCATCCATCCATCTATCCATTTATGCATTGTTCCAATATTATATCCAATCCATCCATCCATTCATCCACCCATTCATCCACCTATTCCTCCATCCATCCATCCATCCATGCTTTCATTTATTGTTCTATTATTCTAACATTACATTGATCCAATTATACATTTTTCTATTGTTCTAACATTATATAAATCCATTCAATCAATCAATCAATCCATTTGCTGTTTTATTGTTCAAACATTATATGGTTTTTATTTGTGTGTCTTTTACTGTATATGAAGAAATATAAGCTACGGTTTTAGTTATTCCCTTAAAGTGGGAATAAGAAGTGACCCGCATAGTAGGATAACAAATACTAATGAGGTCAATGGTCACCAACCATTCAAAATAAAAATACAGAATAGAAAATCACACACACACACTGAATTTGGAGGCAGGACTTTTGTATAATTGACTAATGACAAGTGTTTAGAATAAAGTTCCACAATAAAATTAAGAACTTAAACAATAAAATGAAAAAAGAAAAATTAAATATTGATCAAGATATCTTCTTTTGGGTTAAAAAAAAAAAAAAGAAACTCATAAAAGTTTAGATCAACTAAAGGGTGAGAAAAATGACAGATTTGACATTTTTTGGTGAACTATCCTGTTAAAAATGGACAAAATCTTGACTGTTATATAGAAGCGATTGGCATCATGGCAAATGTTTTATTTCAGACATGTTGAAACCTCCTCCTCCTCCTAATTTTAATCCCAGACTGATTCATTGATTGTCCTCCAACAGAATGGCGGCAGGGTCGACTGACCAGAATCATCCTCCAAGATGAAGACGTCACCACAAAGATCGAGAGCGACTGGAAGAGACTGAACACACTGGCACATTACCAGGTTCGACAACATTTCCTGGCAGCTGCTCCATAACGATATGCAAATTTACAAGTGCTGGTCATGTACTGCGCAAAAATGGAGATGTTTTTTTATAGTTCTCCTCTTTTCTCCATCTCAGGTGACAGATGGGTCTTTGGTGGCTTTGGTTCAGAAGCAAGTATCCGCTTACAACATCGCCAACTCTTTCACGTTCACTCGCTCTCTCAGTCGATACGGTAAGCCGCAATCTCTTGGATCGCTTTACGCCACACAATCCTCGGCTTTAGCCATGTTTGTTTAATATATCGTGGATTCCTGCAGCGTTTTGTGTTGTGCCTCGTGCAGCATGTCTGAATCAAATGGGAATTTAAGATCTTTTCACCAGCCGTTCTGGGCTGGAGTCTTGAAGCTTTTCTGTAAAACACATAGGCTGTGTTTCAAAACCTAGCACCCTGTCTAGCTAAACAGCATTTTTGGAAACTCTAGACAACATTTACACCCCATTCACATGGGGCTTCAGCGACAATACTTGACAGAGGTTGTGTCTGAAGTTAGGGCTGACGCAAACTTCATAGCAGCGTCAGCCAATGAAATTAGTCAGCAATAGGCCACTGTCTGAGCTGGTGTATTACAGCAAACTGATTGGCTGACGCTTCCATTGCCGATTAAAGTTGAGCAAGTCCCAACTTCTGCAGCGAGCAACGGCACTGAAGCGGCGCCGATGGATCCATAATGCAGTTCGGCGATGCCTGATGTCACTCATTTAAAGTGATTGGGAAACGTTGAAGCTGATGACCCGTGTGAATGAGGCGTAAGGCTGAAATCGGTCACTTGCTGTGCTATAAAACTAGCATTTTCAGCTAGAAGTAGATATAGAAGTAGTAAAGATTGATGACAAGCTTGTAGTGTTAACCTAAACTGGTTGGAAGTTTAAAATAACAATAAAGGAAAGTAAATAAGACGTTACCAGCATGTTTACTGTGTTGCTAGCATTGTTAGCATTAAATGTAACATTGATAGCATGTCTCATTCATTCCTTCATGCTTGTTTACATTTTATTAGCATGAACTGGCATTTTCTGAGTCTGTTGATACTATTTTAGACCATGGTTTTAGAATGTTTCACACTATTTGTTGCTAGTGCTACCATGTTTCTGGTATGGTTAACATTTTACTAGCATAACTTCACATTTTGTTTGCATGTTTCTGAGATTAGTTACAGTTAGCTTGAATTCATATGTTGTTTGTATCATTTTAACATGTTTAGTACACGACTAGCATGATGTTAACATGTTGTTGTCATAGATTAGCCTGTTTTTTTTATTTTTGCTATGTTTTACAAAGCTAGTGTATTGTAACATTGATAGCGTGTCTCTTTCATTCCTTCAAGCTTGTTTACATTTTACTAACATGAACTGGCAGTTTCCTAGCCTGTTGCTGCTGTTTTATACTATGGTTTTTTAATGTTTGCGCTATTTGTTATTAGCATGTTTCTAGCATGGCTAACATTGTTGGCATTGATTAGCATGTTAATATTTTTCTGGCATAACTTTATTGCTACATTTTAACAAACTAAAACGTTTAGCATGTTGTTATGAATTAGCATGTTTCATCAATGTTTTGTTACATTTTAACAAGCTAAAATTTTGTAACCTGGTGTTATCAAGAATTAGCATGTTTATTGAATGTTTTGCTACATTTTACAAAGGTTATGATGTTGTAGAGTTGTTATTATGAATTAGCATGTTTTTTGAGTTTTTCTAAAACTGGTAAAATGCTTTAGAAAGTGAAGTAGTTGATTATAGTGTATGCTAATGTGTCTTAAATGGTGCTGTGCTGCAGAGAGCCTCTTGAGGACGTCCAGTAGTCCAGACAGCCTGCGCTCCAGGGCTCCCATGATCACTCCTGACCAGGAAACGGGTACCAAACTCTGGCACCTGGTGAAGAACCATGAGCATGCAGACCAGCGGGAAGGAGACCGCGGCAGCAAGATGGTGTCTGAGATTTACCTCACACGCTTACTAGCTACCAAGGTACACAATTATTACAGCAATAATCCACTCATGAATTAGCAATGTTAAAGTCCGCACGAACTGGAAGTGACCTTTTTTTTTCTTCTTCTTTTTGTAGTGTGACAGTTTCTAGAGAAATGGAGTAATAAATTAGACAACAGCGGGCGTGGCTTGTTTTTTTCTGTGAGCTGATTGGATGTAGTAAAGGAGGCATTTTATTTAGAAAGATTGGGAAATGGGTTTCAGAAGATTATCACAACCTAGCAGATACCACCACCTCACCATTTCTGTTTGTTGTCAAGTTGTAGGGGCGTGGTTAAGTATGTTAGCCACGCCCATTACCTCAGACAGACTTAATTTGAGAATTTAACTGGAAATTAACACAAAGTGCATTTTCAGATTTTAATTTTAGATTACAAGCACATTTTTTTTCTGGATAACATTCACAGAATTGTTCACCACTAAACTAGCAACGTGGGCTAACAAAATCAATATGGCTAGTTTTAATTTAATTTGTATGTTAAAAGGGTATTTCTGTCTACGGGTAAAGGGAAAGTTTGCATGTGGTTTTAAACCTCATTAGTTTCTTCTGTTGAACAGAAATAAAGATAATCTATAGAATGTTGGTTGCTGGCCCCCATTAACTTTCATATTACAAAAAACAAATGAAAGTCCACAATGGAAATCATTTAATTGCTGCATGCATTGGATGCATTTAATTGATCAAATGTGACAATGATGAGAAATGAATTAATAATGTTCAAAAGATGGATGGATGGATGGATGGATAGATAGGTGGATGGATGGATAGTATTTTATTTGATAAAATGTGTGTAGTATTTTCCTTCGCAATGCTAATATAATGGTTTTGGTCTGGTGCATTAAAATAATTTTTTTATGTTTTTTTTTAAGTTTTTTTTTGTAAGTTTTATTGTAAGTTTTTATTTAGAATTTTTTCAATTTTTAAATTTTCAATTCAAACAACAAATGAGAATAAGAAGTTGTGAGATATGCTTGATGTTAAATTTACCAACGTAATAAGCCATAAAAAACGCATTAATCACACTTAATTAAAATAAAAAGCCCCTGCTCTCCCAGTTTTAGTTCTCTTCAGCTGTGTATTGCGTATCAGTTGTTAGATATACATATCTAGTTTATTAGTTCATAACGCATTATGGTTATCAATATAGTAATCATGATTTGTAGACGAATTGGAGAACATATGCATTGTGATGGATTGAAAATGGTTTCATTGAAAAGACCTCATAGGATCCATTATCTCTAAACATTTCACTGCAAAATAATGTTTTGTCTTGTTTCTAATCCAAATATTTTTTTAAATCTTAAATCAAAGGGATTTTCTAGAAAAAATAGAAATACTGTTTTAATTGCAGAAATAATAAGTCAAAATTAATTGAATTTTTTAGGAAAACAAGCTAAATAATCTCAAAAACAAGATCGTTTTACACTACGTTTTACACTGGCAGTAATTTAGCTTGTTTTAAGAAAAAACTCACTTCATTTTGACTCATTATTTCTGAAAATGAAACAATAATTTTCACTTGTCTGAAAAAAATGCTTCTTGATTTGAGAATCTTTTAAATATTTGGACTAAAAACCAGACAAAAACAAAGTAAGAGTGCTTTTACAGCGTTGACATTGTGCTAAATCATGTTTTTAGGGCACTCTGCAGAAGTTTGTGGACGATCTGTTTGAGACGGTCTTCAGTACAGCTCACCGCGGCAGCGCTCTCCCGCTGGCCATCAAATACATGTTTGATTTCCTGGATGAACAGGCGGACAAGAGGCAGATCACCGACCCAGACGTACGGCACACCTGGAAGAGCAACTGGTGAGACAGCGAGTCTTCCTGGCCTTGACCTAATTTTCTGCTGTTTCGCTTGTTTTGAAGCCCTTTCGGGTTGCCAGTTCAGTTCCTTTTGTTTTGGGAATGCAGCGAGCTCTCGGAGCAGCCCCAAAATAATGCATTTTACTGACAACCCACAATAGACCCTTTATACGTTTCCAGATATCTCAGCAATGAAAGTCGTCTTAGTTAGGTAAACCTAGATTGCAGTGAATGGGAGAGTAACACAAATATTTTTTCTGTATTCCTATGTGCCCAAATAATAAAAGAAAAACTCCACGATAGTGTAAAATTGATGAGGGCAGCAAAAAAAGATGTCAAATTTCAACAACGTCACCTAATGCACAAATACTCTACAATAAACATGTACATCATCTATATCAGTGTTTCTCAACCATGTTCCTGGAGGACCACCAGCTCTGCACATTAAACAAACACACCTGATTCAGATCATCAGCTCATTAGCAGAGACTAAAAGACCTGTAATGGTTGTGACAGACAAAGGAGGCATCCAAAACATGTAGTGTTGGTGGTCCTCCAGCAGCGTGGTTGAGAAACACTGACCTATATGATATAAAACTGCAAGTTTTTTATAATAATTATGCATGTTTATATAAAATAACTTATATTTAATTGTAACTTTAATTTAATTTAAATGTAATGCAATAATTTAAATTTTTTTAAAGCTGCTTTGAAGCAATAATGATTGTGAAAAGCGCTACACAGATAAACTTGAATGAATGAATGAAATTGAATGCAATAGAAACACCTCGCAGCATAATTGCAGGTGTCTGCAGATCCTTAAAACATCTTAAAAAGTCTTCAATTTATACAGTATAATAATAGGGCCTTAATTAGTCCTAAAATGTCTTAAATCTGTGTTTCAAATGTCTTAAAAATACAATTGAACCGACCCCATAAAGAAGATTGTTTTCATTTTGAAATCTACCTAAGATCTCTTTTTATTTGTTACCCATAACGAAATAGATGGAATGGAACCCTATAAAATACATACTTGCGGGAATTTTGCTCTTGCCAGCAGATTTCACTTAGAGTTTGTTGTTTATTCACACAGAGATGCACCGATTGACATGACAGCACCGGACGATTTTTTCCCCATGGCTTGACTGGTGACTGTTGATTCTGCTACATTCCATTTATTATTATTAGTCATTTTCAAAAATTTCTATATATAATAAATAGTGTTACGTATGATAATTGATAGGGCCAGACAGAATCTGCAGATATTTGGATATTTCTGCACAGAATTTTGTAAAAAAATTTAAATAAAAAAAAATTGTGGATTTCTGCAGAATGATTTTGGGAGTATCATAACTAAAAACTAAAGATATAAATAAAAAATTCCACATTTTAAACTTTTCTTTAATATTTACAATGCAAATCCAATTAGATTCACTTAATTGGTAAACAACGCATCTCATATAAGAGTCTCTCATATAATATATCTACTAAAAGACAGAAAATTCTTTCAGTCTATCGGATAAAGAAGAATCTTACCAACAGCGCTCGGCTTCTGCTTGATGAATCTGCAAACCATCCCCAAGATGTGCTGTCTAGACCAATCCAATCCAGTTAGTATCATATTTTTCTTAGGATTGTTCCTAAGTAATCAATCAACCTGTTTAATCAACCTCGCTCTGATGTTACTAAGTATTGTATCTGCATTTTGTGGCCACTGCTGTCTAATGAATACCTATTATAATGTTATTTTTTTTCGATTATTTCTTTCCCTAATAAACTGAACTACTGGCATGCCCTTGTCCGGTGAAGCAGTAAGATAGCAGTGGTGGAACTATTACACTCTCAAAGCTAATTTGGTCACTACTAAATATAAAAACCAGTCCAAGTTTTACACCCATCAACTGAGTAACTTAACTCTGGGTACACCTTTTCAATTACTGTTATCCGTATAAGTATCGTTATTGGTCCTTCGTAAAATTCCACACAAATGTACCACAAATTTGGTGAATCCACTGGTGTCTTTCGTTCCTTGTCTAAATGAGAACCCTAATGCGTTCCATTACTAACCACTACTTCACAGACAATCCCTAATCTATAATATATTAAATCTTCCTACTGTACATTTTGCTAATTGATCAAAGGTTTCACTAGCAAACAAGTGCCATGCAATCTCCACCACAACTGTAGGGGAACCAACAGTTTTAGCCCAAAAATGACCAGTCTGTCAGAGAACATTTTCATATTTGTCAATATTATTACTGAAATTAATAAAACATTTAAATATAAATTTACACAAGTAAATAAAAAGACTCAGGGATGGGCTAAAAATCTGTGGATTTCTGCGCACGCGGATTCTGTGTGGGTCTAGTAATTGATTAGTTGTGTTGTGTTGTGTGCAAATTCAGTACTATAAAGTTATACTATACAACTGGTCTTCAGTTTCATTCGGTTTGGTTTTAAAAGGTCTTAAAAAGTCTTAAATATAACTCTTAGAATCCTGCAGATACCCTGTAAGTGTTGTTTATTTATTTATTTATTTTATAACTTGATGCAAAGATGAAATAATGCAAAGTGTAGCTTTATAAATGTACAAAGATAAAGAAAAAATCTAAATATTAAAAACCTTCAAGGAATCAAGATGCTTATCACTGTTAAACATGTCAATCGCCGTCTTTTGTGAAGGATCCATCGCTAAAAAATGGTCCATGGCTTTTTGGAGATAATCAGATTTGATTTTGTTCTTTCTCTCCATTTCTTTCTCTCCCAGCCTTCCTCTGCGGTTTTGGGTCAACGTGATCAAAAACCCTCAGTTTGTGTTTGACATCCACAAGAACAGTATTACAGATGCCTGTCTGTCGGTGGTGGCTCAGACATTTATGGACTCCTGCTCCACGTCTGAGCATCGTCTGGGAAAAGACTCTCCGTCAAACAAACTGCTCTACGCTAAAGACATCCCCAACTACAAGAGCTGGGTGGAGAGGTACAATCACACATCTGCATATACTAGGGTTGTGCACATAATATTGAAAAAATCTGACAATTATATCATATTATATTATATTATATTATATTATATTATATTATATTATATTATATTGCGATATGAAGGCAATTTCACAATATGACTTGCACAGATCTATAGGAAAGCATGTATTTATTTAGATTGGGATGATTTTATTGGGAGTGAATTATGCATAAAATATAAGTAAGAATTTAAAACATATATACGTAAATAAAAAAGAGCAAAGATAAAAAGGAAATAAACAGTGCTCTGTGGTTTTGTGAGGAGTTCAACTGTATTTAGGTGCAGAAATGAAATAATCAGGTTTAAAGTAACATTTTAAAATCTTTAAAGCTTTTTCTCTATGTTAGTGAATCAAGCCTCTGCTAAACTAAGCATTTAGTCGGGTTGAGTAGCTCAATTTTTAATTTAATTTATTATTCATTGTGTGTCAGCATTGTCTTCTAAGGCACTATTTATTAAATAAAGAAAAGATTCAGGCAGTTTCCCCTACTACAGCAAATTACATTTTTATATTTGATATTTGGCATTTAGTTCTCTTTGACTCGTTGGATGGAAACGCAGCTTTATTTGCACATATTTTGTACGATATTCCAGTTTTGCACATAAATTTAATTAGCATTTGTGGATGGAAACATACCTAATGACTAAAATTAGTAATTCCAAACTGCCGAAAGTGTCTCTTTTCATGAATTGATTACCGAGACTCGGTTGATATGTTCAAAACAGAATTCAGGAATGAAACACATACAGTAAATGCTTGGATTCAGATTTGTAGTATTTTCATAGGTGAAACAGAAAAAGATTGTTTTTAAAATGTAACTCCCTCAATAGTATTATCTTGTTGAGTTGTTGTAGGTGGCATGTTGGCTCAGTGGTTAGCACTGTCGCCTCACAGTAAGAAGGTCACTGATTCGAGACCTGGCTAGGGAAGATGGCATTTCTGTGTGGAGTTTGCATGTTCTCCCTGTGTTGGCATGAGTTTCCACCGGGTGCTCCTGTTTCCCCCACAGTCCAAAAACATGCAGTATAGGTGAATTGAATACTAAATTAACTAAACTAACTAACTAAATTGGCAGTAGTGTATGAGTGAGTGTGTTAATCTGAGAGTGTATGGGTGTTTACTGCATAAAACATATGTTGGTCGCTGTGGCGACCCCTGATAAATAAGGGACTAAGCCGAAGGACAATGAATAAATGAATGATAGTAGTTATATATTCATGCACGCCATTGTTTTTGTAATTAATGTGCCCCCATAATCTTTAATCAATCATTTCCCTTTTTTTCTGATGTATTTATTTTGAGGGTGGGATTAGCCTGTCATTCACATGAGGACCAACAATAGGAAACCTCAACCATCCTTTCAATTCCTTAAGTCTTTTCTTAACCATTTTAGTCTGATAACACAACTTCTGATTCATGTCGATTTACAAAGTGCATTTCTTTAATTCCTGTAAGCAATAGAAATAGACTGTTTGCCTTAGCAGGCACCACAAATTAGTCATTTACAGATCCAGGCAGCCTAAAATGAAATGAATCAATCTGGTTTTCATTTTCTCCTGCATATTAACAGCAAATGCTCTTTTACATTTCAGAGTAGATGATTTGCTTTAACCGGAGTTATTTACATGTGTTTGTGTTTTTCAAGATATTACCGTGACATCAGCAAGATGCCAAGTATCAGTGATCAGGATATGGATGCCTATCTGGTCGAGCAGTCTCGTCTCCATGGCAACGAGTTCAACACACTGAGCGCGCTCAGTGAACTGTATTTCTACATCAACAAGTACAAAGAAGAGGTGAGACCTGCGGCTGCGTTTCACATCCAATCCTGAACACCACACTTTTACACTGAGTACTAGCATTCAGGGGTCAAGTGGCTTGGTTGGCATAAAGTGGGTGATGTGGCTTTTTCTGGATGTGAATCAAGCCTCTGCTAAACTAAGCTTTCAGTCAGATCAAAGCAACAACACCCAACATAATATAATATAGTAAAATACACTATATATGAGCATTGTCACACAAGTAGCAGTGAGATATGGCTGTATATCGGCATTGGTGGGAGGCGTGCGTTGTGCGTTGCCTTAGTGCCCCCAACAGTGCCGATATACAGCCATATCACACTGCTACGAGTGTGATATTGCGTTTATGCAACCGCTTGACGGCATAATTGTGTATATAAAAACAAAATCAAACATGGAGAGTCTCAAAAACCCTTTTGTATGAGGAACTACTTTCTTCCGGATTCAAATCATAAGCTGACAGTTAAACAGCTGAGCAAGCATCTTTTAAACTTTAGATCTGTAGTGTCTGCTTTTTGCTGGCTGTATATGGGCAGAGTAATACACGAAGGGTAAAGTGGCTGTACGGGTGCTGATATTACTTAAATATATCACGGCTATCAGCCAATCAGATTCGAGAACAAGACAGAACTTTACCATAGTTAAGTGACCAATATTGGGATGGAATAACTCTGATTTTCAATTATTAAAAATAAATGTATTATTGTGAGCATTTTCTGCTTAAAAAGAATGCAAATAAATGCTTTTTTATTAAAATTTGGATGATATGCTATCATGTTGTGGGGATTCTGCATAGTTTGGTTGCGCAATTCTGATTGGGCAGGACAAAAGTGTGCTCACTCAATTGGCTAGTAAGACTATTACACACAGACGACAGTCACGCATTTGCTCTGGGTGGGGGAAATTAAATAATACATATTTATTTCATATCGCAGCCTCTTGCGATTAGCTAATTGGGATGTTTTGAATCGCGATTCAATCAATCGCACAGCCCTAGTTGACAGTGCATTTGTTTTGCACAAAATCAGTCATTAGTAGTGTTGCATTATTTTTGCAATGTGTGATGAGCTGTCAAACTGCATAAGAATATATATTTTTCCTGCAAATAAATCATAAATTGTGGCGTTTTGCAAAACGTTTGCATCTTGTGTTTTATTGAGCAACTTGTCGACTTGACTTTGATAACATAAGAGCCGACTTTCAAAAATGTAAAGTAGTTCAACCCCTAATGTGTACACGGTATTAAAAATGTATTAAATTCAACTGATATACATTTAAAGTCAGAATTATTAGCCCCCACTGTTTAATTTTCCCCAATTTCTGTTTAACGGAGAGATGTTTTCAACACATTTCTAAAAATAGTTTTAATAACTCATTTCTAATAACCGATTAATTTTATCTTTGCCATGATGACAGTAAATAATATTTGACTTGATATTTTTCAAGACTCTTAAGACTCTTAAGCTCTTCTGTAGAGCTTAAAGTGACATTTAAAGGCTTAACTAAGTTAATTAGGTTAACTAGGCAGGTTAGGGTAATTAGGCAAGTTATTGTATAACGATGGTAACGATGGTTTGTTCCGTAGACCATTGAAACAAAAAATAGCTTAAAGGAGCGAATAATGTTGTCCTTTTTATTAAAAACTGCTTTTATTCTAGCTGAAATAAAACAAATAAGACTTTCTCCAGAAGATAAAATATTATCAGATACTATACTGTGAAAATTTCCTTGCTCTGTTAAACATTGTTTGGGAAATAATTAAAACAGAAAAAAATATATAATTGGGATTAATAATTCTGACTTCAACTGTAATGTGTCCTGTATTTGTACATAAACTATATTCATAATTTACCTGTCTACAAAACTTTAAACATTGATTTCTGCCCTTTATATGGAAATGTTTGTAAAGTAGTAGGGTATATGTCGAAGCATGCTAATAGGACTTTTGCTTTGCCAGTAACCTGGGTTAAGCGCTTCCGGCGAATTGAATGCCAATGCAAAAACCGGTGCGTTTAAGGTCTGTTTTCTTTAAAAATCAGCGATCTCTACTAGCTGAGTGATATCCGATATAAAGTGGGTCTCAGATTGTACAAGAAGCACTGCATTAAGTTACATTTTCCCCTGCCATGTCTTTATAATATGAGCATTTATTTTACCCCAGTATATTCAATGGAGCTTCTGTGCTAGCCTGCCAATTCTGACGGGCGTGTGCGAGTAAACTTTTTGTCTAGTTTTACGCTTGAGCTATTAAATGAATGCCAAAGTTTATTTAACTGAATGTATTTTAATGACATTACAACATCGATGCTGTAAAAGGAACCGTATTAATTGAAAAAAGTTCAAAATAACAGGTCACCGGAAGTTTATTAGTATGGGAAAAACACTAGCTCGGCATATACCCCATTAGAAATCATCTAAAATTCTGGTAGTGGCCTAATGATAGTTTGAAGATGCACGTGAGATTTGAATTGAAATGCAAATGTTGTTTCAGTAGTAGTGGTTTGATCTTGATGAATGTGCAGCGCCGTATCTGATGAGGTCATTTATCACTGTCATTATGAGCTCCAGTGAGCATCGTCCACATACTCTCACGCTGAGAACGGTGTCCAAAATTGAATTATTACATGGCTTCGGTCTTCAATTAATGGCCTCTCCTTCTCTCTCTCTTGCAGATTTTGACAGCGCTGGACAGAGACGGTTACTGTCGCAAACACAAGCTACGACACAAACTGGAACAAGCCATTAACCTGATGTCTGGCAGCAGCTGAGGGTGGTGACAGATCGGACGGGACGGGACGGGAGGGGAAGCGGGTTTGGGGAGAGATGAGACTGAATTGATGGCGTCCAGCGGACCGACCCGTGTTAGAACATCCACAGCTTGTGCTAGCAGAAGGTGAGGCTAAACACTGGACAATCAACTCTAACGGAACCACAGCACAGCATATCAAGCCCAATGTTTTTTCTGGACCAGATCCTGTATTCCCAAACGCCCTCACTCCCTAATGCCCGACCCGACCCCGTTCATATCAGCCTGCCTAACAAACTCTTCAACATGGACTACTGTGGATCAGACACATTCCAATGAGGAAAAGATGCAACATGTTGCCTTCGAAGTAAAGATAGTGCCATGGAAGGAAATATCCATCTTTCTGGGAGAAAATTTAACAAAAAAAAAAAGAAGCAACGTGTTTTAGTAATGCATTCGATGGGTAATCAGAAAACAATTCTTCAAATCGACCTCCGAGAGACGCCTCAAGAACAATCCAGCTCCATTAAACAGAAGATATTTATAATCAATAATGGAGACCAAATGTTGGGGGGAACTGCATTAGGGGTAGTGTTGAGGCTGGGCAGATTGGGAGGAAGCTTCTCCTCCTCGTCTCAGAAACGCCATAGACCTTTAAAAGCGCCTTTTTCTCTCTTTTTTTGTGATTATGGGGCCAAATGGACCTCTCTTTGTCAAGAGGTATGGATCAGCATATTTTGAAGCTTGCCTTTTCTTTGCGTCCGGATATGACTCCCTGAACCGAAATGTACCCCGGGATCGGGCGTCCGCCGCCCCTCGGGAGAAGTTTTTGCTCCCTTTGCTTTTTTGTACACCGCTGTGTTACTGTGAGGTTTGGAGTGTTTACTCGGATTCTGTGGTTCTGCGTTGGCGAGGGCCGAGATTTATCCCTTGATGACAGGCATCTTTAATGTAGTAGATCCATCTAGAGCAATAACTCTCAGAATTTACCTGCAAGCCATGAGTTTCAGTTCCCTGTGTGTGTTCAGAATCACCGTCCTGACTCTAAATTTTCAATGTTAGCAGTTGGCGAACTTTTCATTTCCCTGTTTTTGTTGTCGTTCTGCCCAAAGGGCAGCCAAAACGTGTTCACAATGCCAAGCACAACGAAGGGACGACTGTTCTACTCTGATTGTTTTATCGCCGTTTCAGCAGGCCAATGCAATTCTGGACTAGAAGTCCGCAGCTAAACAAATGTCGCTCTTCAGTCGTCCCCCGTAAAACCTTAACACAAGGTTCCTGCTTGATCGATTCTAAAGATTGTGTCAATTCTGTCTGTATACACAAACAACAAGGCCTTAAGTCATTTCCTCTTCTCTATATCGGACTTTCTCACCTCTCTGAGGTGAACTGCAAATATTCCAGGTACTCGAATTGTGATACGTACGTGAGTTTCAAAGTACTCTCAGCTGTTTTCTAATCCTTGCTTATATGTGGTTCTGAGTTCTGCCCTGTCTACTTGCATCCGGATTGTGTTTTTCTGTCACGGTCACCAACCGAGAATGTACAGCATGAGCATATCTTGCAAAACTCTTTGCCTCATTATACGTGTTCCAGTTGAAAACGCAAAATACCTTCAGACGATCACAACTAGGACTACAGGGAGCGCTATTTGCTTTCAAAATCGTCTTCACAAAGTCTTTCACCAAGGTCAGTTTGAGCAAACAACACCCATCGCCATGTTCGGGATCATTAAAACAGTCGGGAAATCCATCGGGGCCTTATTAGTTGAGTTTAGTTGAGTTTTGAATGTAGATATTCGATGACCATCAAAGTGATCACGTACCTTTAAGTTCATCATACTCTGATATTTTCACCCTGAAGTGTATTATTGGGTAACTGCTAATCATGATTGCCTTGGTTGGCCTACAAATGCAGGACTTTAGGCATTTCAATTCAATATTTTTGTGTTTCATTGAATGTAATTAAACCTGCCTTCAAATTGGATGGGGATAACAAGATTCTCAGTTCGTTTAGATACGGCATCATCATCAAAAGCCTAATTTGTGTGTGTGTGAGTGTGTGTGTGTGCGTGAGTTGTTGGAATTGTGAAGGCAGGATGTTTTGAAGTAAATGTGGGGCTCATTAACACATGAAAAAGTTGCAGGGTGATAATTAAGCAGACTCCATTTGAACATTGGTTTGTTTTTGTGTTTTGGGGTCAACTCGTGAATCCGGCATTTCAACCTCTCGCGACACACACCGTACATCAGGAATTATTGCCTGTTTGCCAAAGCTGCGTCGTCAGCAATGCAGGTGCGACACCGACATCCCAACCACTTTGAGAAATGAAACGCAATCATAAATCTGGCATTTACCAGTGGTTGATTTCTGTGTTTGTTTGTTTGATTTAGCACCTCTTGGTTGAAACCACGCCGTCAGGTTTACATCTGATTTTTCTATACTGTGAGTAAAGCCAAACGTACTGTGGGGGAAGTGGACTTAGCTTGGTCGCGTACATACTGCCTGTAAGATAACTCTGACTATGGTTAAGTGCAACTGCCCACCGGGGTGTTTTTAGCTGAAGATACTAACGACGCCTCGGCCGATAGCCATATATCAGAAAAATCGCCCGTTTCCTTTCGTGCAGCAGAACTCAGAGCCAAATGAGGCGCTTTGCGGTTTGTTTTTCGTCGTGTGGTGAAACGGCATACTCTTAAAAGCACCTGTAACTTGTGAGGAACGGAGCGGAGCGAGTGGCAAAATAACTGTGGTGTTTTTTCAGTAGATACAGTAGAAGAAAAAATAAAAAAAATATGTCTGTTTTAGAACCATAACTACATTTCAGTCAATGTTCTAGTTATAAAAGAAGAAAAAAATACATTTTGTCTCAGATGAATTAATTCTAATTTATTTGTCCGTTCGTCTCTTTATCCCAAATGTTTTAATCGATTTTATTGTAACAGACTTGTTTACAGTTTCAGAAATATATGGAGTTTATTAACGTGTCTGGAGAGCTTTGTGACTGGTTGATTGGATGACTGGTTAATGGGCAACTGCTATGCCTAGTCCTTAATTCTATATAAATATATAAATATATTTTGTATAATTATTGGACTGAAATGTTTTGTTTTTTTAGCATTTTTTTATTTTAAATTATTCTTTTAATTCCGTTTTTAAATGGTTCGAGGGTGAGAATGAGTCTAAAACGCTGGCTGCAATGAAGTGTTTTGTATATATTTGCACCTTTTCTTTTTTTTTATCTGTGCAAGTTTTTTTTTGAAAGATCGGATTCTAACTTAATGTTAAAAGGACAAGCATGGTGTTGTTTATTTTTTGTTTTCATTTTTTGCTAATTAAAAGATATGTGGATGATGCTGTATATTTCTTGAATGTTTATTTTCAGTTCTGTTCAATTGTTTTTTGTATATATAATCATCTGCAAGGACTATTTTGTCTCAAGAGCTTGATGTTTTCATTCAAATAAAGACAAGTGTCTCAGTGAAACCTACGCAGTCGCTTTTGGCCTCATGTAAACTAACACGCAGTGTGATCTTTCAGCGAGGAATGACTAATTCTTTTGTGCATTGTTTAATTTTTCTTAGGATCTAGTTTGTAATTGGAAAGTCTGTTATGTTAGATGGCAGTTTCGAGTATCAGAGCAGAGGAATATTGAAAAAAAATCTGCATAGTTCAGAATGATGTGTTCTCGTCAGACATGGTTCCAGTTATTTTTCTGTCCACAATGAAAGTAAAATTGCATCAGGGTGCAGCAAAATCACAGCTAATCAGAACACATTCATAACAGCATATTGATACGTTAATATTTGAGGAAACTGAAGATTTATTTTTTTAAATAATACTTTTATTCAGCAGTGGTGCGTTAAACAGATAAAACTGACAGTAAAGACACTTTCTGATTTCACAAAACAACTCTATTTTAAATAAATGTTTTTCAAAAAAAGCTTGAAATCTTGGTTAATATTTTAAGCACTTTGAACATAACTCTGTATGAATACATCAAATATGAAATCTAATAAACTTGATGAGCAGAGTTTGTTGCTTTCCTATTTAAAGACAACTGAAGCTCTTATCAAGTCTTTGTTAAAGCATTACAATTATTGAGGTGAATCATATTTAATAATCACAAGACGTATATGTAAATCAGACCTAAAGAGGGTGAAAGATTGCAGATTTAATGGCTTTTTTGAGGGAAGAAAGCTTTGTAAATGACATAATTCCAATAAAAACTTACAATACTATTGCTATATTTAATGTAACTAGTTATTTCTACAAACTATTATGACTCTACGTCTACTTCAAAGGAATGGCTAAACAATTCTTCTGCTGCGTGTCTCTCAATATGATTTTCTATCGATTCACAGCAAGTCTGTCTTTAAAAGTTTATCAGTAAACAGTCTTTTTTTCTCGTGTAGAATTTTCTCATAGTGGTTTTAAATGACTAAAAATAAAGATTGCGTTTACAGAACTTTGTGTGTACTTATTATGTAAATAATATTACATATACATACATACTGTATATACACACACACTACTGGTCAAAAGTTTGTGGTCAGTTTTTTTTTTCTTTAAGAAATTATTCTTTTCATTAAGGCAGCGCTTATTAAATGTACAAAAATGGCTAAATTATTAAATATTTATTAACATTTTAAGTAACTGCTTTATTATTGTATGTAGTTTCAAATGAAATTTATACTCCAGTCATTATTGCTTTTATTACTATTACCATTAATAACAACAATAATAATAATAATAATAATAATATTAATTAACATTGGAGTGATTTCTTAAGGATCATGTGACTGAAGACTGGAGTAATGAAGCTGAAAATTCATTTTTAAAATCACTGGAAAAAATGATTAAATTAAATGAACTACTTTTGAACAGTTGTTTTCTAGTGCAATAACATTTCACTATTTTACTATTTGTACTGTATTTTTGATAAATGCAGCCTTGGTGAGCAGAAGAATCTTGTTTTAATAAAATCGTACTGACGCCAAACTTTTGACTGGTAGTGTACATGTATGGAAAGAGTTTATTATATAGGAAATATTTATGTATAACATGTAAATTAATATTTATATAGGATTTTATGTGCACTAAATATTAAAACACACATTATGTAAATGCAAACTTTAATCACATTTTACCACACAATTCCAACACAAAAACTTATTTTTAAAAATTTTTTAAACAAATTTAAGTTGTCTAAATGTGTATATAAGGTCATACTTTATCAGTACGAATAAACAGTTAATACCATAATAATAGGCAGGTAATTACCCAGTAGTTAATAGTGGGACTTGTTACTTAAACTAAAGTGTTTCCCAAACTTTTATTTTGTATGTGATTATTTGTGAATTATTGTTAATATACTTAAAGTACTGTTTTTTATTTATTTACTTTTTA